TTATATATATGTATATATATATATATATGGGGTTTGTGTTTGTCATTTAACATGACACAATAAACTTTCTACACACATAATATTTTGTGGGGTCCACACTTTTTGAAGAAAAAAGAAAAAAGAAATTATGGCATATAAAATAAATCTCTATAACATTACACAATCACTTTTCTTACAACATAATATTTATAAAATATTATATATATATATATATATATAAATATATATATATCCCTAAATATATTTTTTTGAGAAAAGAAACATTGCAATAGGTTGTGTCACATGTGGCTCGCTGTCCTCACCTGTCAAAAGGTTTATAACACTGTCCGCGTTTACTTTTCTTGCGTTACGTGGGTATAGGTGCGATCTATGGCCACCAACCGAATAAGAAACTTTTAACCTACCTAATAAAACAAAAAGTAACCACCAAAATAATAATAATAGCGAAAAGCATACTGAAGATAAAGTTATCTCAAATGAGCTCAAAATGATATTGTTTTGAAATTAAAAATTAAAAAATTATAAGGATAAAGACTAATATAATCCTATAATATATTAGAATTACAAAAACAATATTCATCTCCATCCTAAAACAACGTTGTTTTAAGCTCATCGGAGATAACCTATCTCCATTACCTGAATAAATCCTTTATCCATAATAATAATAATAAAAAAAACAAAAACTACTTGTGTGAAAAAAACGTAAATATTCATTCCCTTGTAACTAATAAAACGTTTTATATGGATTATTGATAATTAAGTAACCATGAACAAAAGATAAATCACCTCGGAGATGGATGGTAACAAATTATTAATTTTTGACACCTAAACCTAAAATGTATAGCAATTAGCAAGTATAAATTTAATTTCAATTCTACTTTTTTTAAGCAATAGAATTAGTTTATAATATTAAATGTTATGTTTCGAATTGTCAAAAAATTAAGGCATAAAAAGTTATTTGTAAATTAATTCTAATTTTATAATTTAAATGTATTATATAGAATTTAAACAAAATTGTTTAACAATAATAAAAACAATATGAAAATAATAAATTTTGTAATATGACAGTCAATATTTTTTATTACAAGAATTCTTATAAAAAATATATATATAAATTAAAAAAAGAAGTGTAAGCAATTTTTTACATTGAAATATTAAATTTAAGAACATGGTTTACTCGCAATTAAGTGATAGTAATAGAAAGTTAAAGCAATAAGTATAAATAAAAAATATCAAGATATAATATTTAAATTTTTATTATATGTTTTACTTTTAAGAAATAAAACTATTTAAATATTATCTAAATATCAAAGTTCTACTATTATTTAAAATATTTATGTATTTATTTTATATAAAAGAAAAATTTTAAGATTATAAAAAATACTGATGCAATAATAATTTTGTAATATAATTATAACATTTTCTAAATCACTTTTATCTTGAGGTAAATTATATGAAATTTACTTTTATAAAGAGAAAGGGGCTTCAATTTTAAATTTTAGAATTGTTAATTTTTAATGTATAGGATAAAAATTAAGAATGACTTTTTACTATTTTTCTTTTCAATTTTATAGAATTGGTTTATAGCATTACCATTTCAATCCAAATATAATTCTAAAAAGAATTATAATTAAAAGTTCAAACTCCATTCCTCAATTTTAGATGCCAAAAGACTTTACATAAAATGAAATAAATAATAAATATATAAAAATTGATAACAACTTCAGAGAAGGATTTTTCTAAAATCTAGTTTGTCACTCATGTTTGGTACATAGTATAGGATAAGGTCTGATAGTATAAGATTTGATTAAATTTTAATACTATCTATCATTTGGTATGATATTGTATAAGATAATATCCTCCGGTGTTTGGTAATTTACTATATAATATTATTGAATAAAGAATTTATATAATTCTTCTAAATATGTCATATGGTATTAATTTTTATAAAAATCTATTGATCAGTCATGTGTCCAAAAAATATATTAGCTTTTATAAAAATAAAAATTTCCAACATTTTAAAAATTAATACATTAAAAAATTAATTTTTATTTTAATATATTAATATTAGAATGATATATTAATTCTTGAGAATTATACTTGTAAGCAATATTAATAAATTAACCCCCTATCAGGCTTAATCTCACCCTCTTAGGTCTGACTAAGTTATACATCATTTTGATGTATTAAGAGGTTCTACTGTATAAGATTACACTATACGATATTCACATCAACCAATTAAAATATTATAACATATAATATAAACTTATACTATCAAGTCTTATACACCACACCAAATCGCGGGATTATAAATTTGTAGCTTTTGCCAATTCACAAATGTCAGCATAGATCAATAGGCTAGTCCTAGTTATGTTTTCATTCTGAGAGACACAATTTATTAGTTGTACCTAAATGATGTACATAATACATCTCAAAGGCAACGAATTTTTTTTTTCAATTGTACCACAATATTAGTTGGTTAAATTCTCACCTGTTCATGTTTTGGTTTCGTTTTTTTTTTTTTGGTAAATGGTTTCGTTTTTAAAATATACGGATTAATGTTTCTCATTTGTATAAGATAATTTTATCTCTTATACATATAAAAGTAGATGAAACTAATATTGTCAAAATCGAGTTTCAAGAGAAAATAGTAGAAACATAAATCGTAGAAATAACACGAAATGTAAAGTTTCTATTACTTAAGGTCAAGAAACAAAATTATATATATATATATATATATATATATATATATATATATATATTATATGGGAAAAATATGTGTCATTTTAAAGGATGTGAAGTTGTGTCATTTTAAGAGAGAAAAATAAATAGATAAAGGAGGAAAGAGAGTTGACAAAAAAAATAAAGACGTGAGTCTCACCTCTTTGTGATAGTGAAAGGATATGAGTTATGTCATTTAAAAGGATAAACATTTTTTCCATATTAGTGATTAAAAACACATTAATGGGCTAGGATGTGAACACGTAGACACACGCGCGCGATTTTTTTTCTCTGTGCTAGGGTTTTTTTACAATTTGCTTTTATTCTATGGAGATCGCTGATGGAGATCAAGGATCTAATCAGGAGGATGATAGTTTGAAGATCGTGAGAGGTAGGAGCTTGCTAGAAGAGGAGAACTCTTCCCCGACGGGGAAGAAACTGAAAGGGGAAACACCGGATGACACTACAATGGATGAGGAGATGCATGAGGATCTCGCTGAGGTTGTTGTGGGTCAAAGCCCTAAACTCGGGTCCACAGAGGAGAAGATGATGGACGCAATTGGGAACCCTCGTGTGAAAGTTGTATCCTATAAGGATAAGCTTCTGCGCTTGAACGGGATCAGAGGCCTACCAGATGAGGAGGATGATAATTGGGTCTCGTTACAGAAGAAGGAAGATGAGGAAGCCTTACTGTTGGAAGGCATGGGACAGGCTGGGGAAGATGATCCCCTGTGCCCGAGACTTATTCTCTCAGCTGAAGAGCATAAAAGGGATTGTGAGCAGTGGCGTAAGGCTCTGATCATCAAGTTGTTGGGGAAGCGAATTAGCACGCGGTTCCTGTTGACCAGGTTGAGGAAGAGTTGGAATCTGGTAAGTTCTTTCGAAGCTATTGATCTCGATAATGGCTTCCTGTTACTGAGATTTCAGGAGGATGGTGATTACCGTCATGTTTTGGAAGAAGGGCCCTGGATTGTTAATGACCACTATGTGGTTGTCCAAAGGTGGAGGCCCTTCTTCGATCCGTATGATGAAAGTGTCACGAAATTGGCAGTTTGGATCAGAGTTCCAGGACTCCCAATTGGATTGTACAAGCTTCGCACCTTGTGGCGCATTGGGAATTTTTTTGGCCGTACTCTCAAAGTTGATAGGAACTCTCTTAGAAAGAGCGAATTGGGGGAGGATCTTATTACTGAGCGGGCCAGATTCGCTAGAATCTGTGTTGAAGTGGACCTGAGGAAGAGCTTTCTATCTAAGTTTGTGGTAGGAAGCAAGGTTTATCCGGTTGGATACGAAGGGTTGCACCTTATATGTTTCAAGTGTGGTATGTATGGTCATAGAAAGGACCAGTGTCCTGCTGACCAGGTGGCATGTCCCCATCAGATGGATGGCAACTCAGATCAGGAGAAGGCTTTGGCTGGTGACCATACAATAGAACAAAAGGAGGTAAAAATGGAAGAAACTTTTGGGAGCTGGATGGTTGTCCAGAGACAGCCTAAAAGTAGGAAGTTGAAGGCTATTCCAGTCCCTTCAGGAAAGGTGGTGCAGGTTCAGAATCCTACTCTTGTTGATCCTGGGTCTAAGGATTTGGCTAATTCTCATATGGTAGGGGGTGAGAGTAGTGGTTTGGAGGATCAGAAGGAGGCTGCTCTTGTAAGTATGGAGGCTGACGGTATTGGAGGAGATGTGGGTAGTGGAATTCCCCTTCTTAGTCCTGCGAAAGAGCTGGCTGGCAAGACTACTATGAAAGGGGTTAGTGTGGAATCTTCTGTCCTTAGTCCTCAGAAGAAAGGCAGAACCCTTGAGGCTGGAACTAAGAAGAATGTGCTTAAAGAAGGTAAAGGTAGAACTAAACCTGGGATCAAGTAAGCTTCTAAGAAGAATGGGATTGAAAATGTTCCCCCTGTCCCTGTGGCTGATGGGTTGTGCAAAGGTACAGCTAGGAGTAAGCTTAAGAACGTGGCTGACTTGGAGGTTTCCAATACATTGGGTTTTTCTAGCTCTAACAGTGTTAAAAAGGACCCTGGTGGTGGTTGCTGTGGTGAGTATGATTCCAGAACATCTGTTCCAGGTTCAAGAACTGTGGAGAGCTTCACTAATTTGGTGGGTGGCTCACCTTCCCACTAGGTAAATAGATAGCCTTTGGGGCTGTTTGTTTTCTTTTTGTACAGATTCTATTTTTTACATTCATGTCTGTCTTGTCTTGGAATTGCAGGGGGGTAGGTAAGTCTAGCTTTCCTATCCTTATTAGGGATTTAAAATTTAGATTTAAAGTTAGTATTATGGCTTTACTGGAGACCTGTGTGGGGGTTTTGAAAGGAGATGATATTATCAGGAAGTGTGGGTGGCTGGAATTGGAGGATATCAGTTATGACATGACTGATCCTTGGTTGGTGCTGGGAGATTTTAATGCCATCCTTCATGCTTCTGAGAAGATTGGGAGTCAGGAGCTTTGTTGGAAGGGTATGGATGAGTTTAATCAGTGTCTGATTAATTGCAATGTCAGTGATATGGGGTTCAAAGGCCCTGATTTTACTTGGAAAAGGGGTAGACTCCATGAGAGGCTGGATAGAGCCTGTTCCAGTGAGGCTTGGAACATTGCTTGGCCTAATAGGTTTGTGTCCCATCTTCCTTTCTACAACTCGGATCACAGGCCTATCCTCTTATATGATGAGAGAATCTCTGTTCCTAGGGAACACATTAGAAGTTTTAAATTCATGGCAGCTTGGTTAACTGACTCTAGATTTGGGGATTTGGTTAGGAGTTGTTGGGAGAATGGGGATTGGCTGACTGCTAGGAGGAAATTTGAGGTTGATGCTACTTTTTGGCACCATAATGTCTTCAAGGAGGTTTTTAAACAGAAAAATAGACTTTATTCTCGGCTGAATGGTCTGGACTCTTACAAGTATGGGAGGTATGATCATAATACTGAACTGCTACAGAAGGATCTATGGAGGGAACTTCAGTCTATTCTGGTTAAGGAAGAACTCATATGGTTTCAAAGATCTCGTAACCATTGGCTGAAATTTGGTGACAAAAATACCAGATTTTTCCATGCATCAACAGTAGCTAGGAGAAGGCATAACAGAATTGTGACTCTGAAAGATGAGGGTGGTAACTGGATAGCTGATTCTGAGAGTCTGGTCCAGTTGGCTGTTTCTTTCTATCAAGGTCTCTTCACCAGTGAGGGTGTGAGGGAAGATATTTTCCCTATTCAGAAGATGTTTCCTAGGTTGGCTGAGCATGATATGAGGAGGCTGGCTTTCATAAAAAGGATTGTTTTATGATGGGAAAATTTAAAGCCCCTGGCCCTGATGGTTTGAGTGCCATTTTTTTCCAGAATCAGTGGAACACTGTTGGTGACTCTGTTTGCAGACTGGTGGTGGATGTTTTCAATAATCCAGAGTTGGTTAGGGATATAAATGACACCTTGATTTGTTTAATCCCTAAGAAGGAAAGTCCTGAGAGTATAAGAGATTTTAGACCCATTAGCTTGTGTAATGTGGTTTATAAAATCATAACTAAAATCATTGCTGGGAGATTGAAGGATCTGCTTCCAAGAATTGTCTCCCCTAATCAGTGTAGTTTTATTAAAGGTAGACAAGGATGTGATAATGTCATCATAGTTCAGGAGGTTATTCACTCTATGAGATTGAAGAAGGGTAGCCAAGGGTGGATGATGATAAAGGTAGATCTAGAGAAGGCATATGACAGGCTGGATTGGAGCTTTATCCAGGAGACTTTGGAGGACATAGGTCTGCCTAAACCCCTAGCTCTCCTGATTTATAAGTGCATATCTACATCTTCCATGAGGCTACTCTGGAATGGGGTGGTTACAAAGGAAATTTTTCCTGAGAGAGGCATCAGGCAGGGGGATCCTATTTACCCCATTCTGTTTGTTCTTTGCATGGAGAAACTGTCCCAACTTATCCAGGTGGTAGTTGACTCTAGGGCCTGGAAGCCTATTTCCTTAAGGAAGAAAGCACCTCCTATCTCTAATTTGCTGTTTGCTGATGATATTATTCTTTGTGCTGAAGCCAGTATAGAGCAAGCTCAGGTTATCAATCAGGTTTTGAGGACTTTTGCAGATGCTTCAGGTCAGAAGGTGAGCAAGGATAAGACTAGAGTTTTTTTCTCAAAAAATGTTTGTTTCAGCAAAGCTAATGAAATCAGTGAGATGTTGGGGATGGGGATCACCTCGGATCTAGGGAAATACCTTGGCATACCCCTCCATCATAAGAGAACTACCAGGGGAACTTTCAGGAATATCCTTGACAGATTGCAGGATAGACTTTCCAGGTGGAATCTGACTTCCCTCTCTTTGGCTGGCAGGTCTGTTTTAGCTAAATCAGTGTTGGAAGGAATGCCTGCTTACTCTATGCAATCCTCTGTGTTACCGTTGGGGGTGTGCAATGAGATTGAGAAGATAACCAGGAATTTCATTTGGGGATCTTCTCAAAGCCAGAGGAAGGTTCATCTGGTGAACTGGAATAGGGTGTGTAGACCAAAGAAAGATGGGGGGTTAGGCTTCAGGGATCAGAAGCTCATTAATAGAGCCTACTCCATGAAACTGGGTTTTGATATCCTTTCTAACAAGGATAGCTTGTGGGTTAAGGTGCTTCGTAATAAGTATAAGGTGGAGGATTCTTTTAAGCCAATTCTCTATAAAGGCAGCTGTGTTTCCAACACATGGAGAGGCATTCAGAAAGTTTGGGATCATGTATTGGAGGGGTCTAGGATTATCATTGGGTCTGGCTCAAACACCTCCTTTTGGTATGACAGGTGGGTGCCCAATATTGGTAGGCTGGTAGACTGGTCATTATCAAATATTCCTGATGCTATGAAGAATTTGAAAGTTTCTGACTGTGTCCAGAGGGGTAGTTGGATGTGGGACAGGTTCATCTCTTTCCTTAGCAAAGACATTCTAATGGCTATTGAGAAAATTAGGCCTTCCTCCTTTTGTGAGGAGATGGATAGGTTAATTTGGAGTCCCTCTAATTCTGGTGCCTTTTCGGTTAAATCTGCTTATAATTTGCTTACTGTTCCGAGTGTGAGCTCTATTTCTTTGCAGTGGGATACTATATGGAAATGGGAAGGCCCCCAAAGGATCAAATTCTTCCTATGGTTGGTAGCTGGGAATAAGTTACTAACAAATGCTGAAAGATTCCGCAGGCACTTTTCATCCTTGGAAGCTTGATCTTGTTGCTAATGGGAACACTGCCAATGGTATGGTGAGTTGGTGTCCTCCCTGGCCTGGTTGGATTAAATTGAATACTGATGGGGCGTTTTCTGAGAAATTGGCATCTGCTTCTTGTGGTGGGGTAGCCAGGGATGAATTTGGCAACTGGATTTCAGGTTTCTACAAGAGACTATACCCTGAATCGGCGTTGATGGCAGAACTCTGGGGTATCCTGATTGGCCTAGATTGGGCTTGGGGGCATGGTTATAAACAAATTATGATTGACAGTGACTCCTTGGTGGCTGTTTTACTAGTGAAAGAAGGTTGTGTGCAGACTCATCCTTGCCACGAGATGGTTTCCAGAATCAGAGATATGATTGACAAAGAGTGGAGGGTTGAGATTGGCCATGTGTATAGGGAGAGCAACCAAGTGGCTGATTGGCTGGCTTCTAGTGGTAGGCAGTACGTTTGGGATACTCAATGGTATGATAGTTGCCCTGTGGGCTGTGCTCAGTTGGTGTTAGATGATAGGAAGGGCACTATGTTGCCCAGGAACTTTGCTGTGTAATTCTCTTTTCTTTCCTATATATACAAAAAAAAAACATTTTTTCCATATTATATATATATAATATCATATAAGTCATTACTCAAAATTTAATGAACAACTTCATATTTAAAAGGTATAAGTCCAAAAACACAAAAAGAGTTTAACAAGACTTATAACCAAGTTTCATAACATCAAAAGAATAAAGTTTAACAATTTTTTTTTTTGAATACAAAGTTTAACAATTCTTAAATGGAAATACAGTGGCCTCGTGTGAAGGTTTTTTTTTTCCAAATAGTTAAGAAGAGATATTGTGCATTTGATTTAGGAAAAATGGAAATAAGTTTTTTTTATTAAAAAAAATAAAACCAGGTCACGAATTAAAAGTTGACCTGGTTCATTTTTTTTGTTTAAGTAAAAATGTAAAAACTTGTATTTCTATTGTTTTTACACATAGTTTTTGGGATTTATGAATATTATGTTACATGATGAAGCTTACATCATGCTACACTCACAATGCAAGTGGGCCCCACAAAAAATAAGAAAATGGTGGGGCCCACTTGCATTGTGAGTGTAACATGATGTAAGTTTAATCATGTAACATAATATTCATAAATCCCATAGTTTTTAGGCAGTTTTTGCTTATGGGTTAAAAGTTGATCCGTTTCTTTTTTTGTTTAAATAAAAAATATAAAAATTTGTGTTCTTATGATTTTTACATATAGTTTTTATCAGTTTTTACTAAATAGAGTTTCTACTTATGTTTTAATAATAAAAACATAAATTTTTACCTCTTTACACAAATTTTAACAATGGGTGCAACTTATATATTTTATTTTTATCTTTTTTTTTAAATGGGAGCCACGTATTTTTATATATGTATAGAATAAAATTATCTCATACAGGTGAAACATTAATTCCATCAAACATTAACTAATAAATTTTCGAAAGAATCTACAATCCTTGAGGTACGAAAACTCTACACGTGGCTAAACATTCACCGTCCACCCTTGCCAACCAACCGTCACTCTCACTCTACCGAGTCCTCACTACTGTCCCTCACTCCTCTTCCCAAAAGTGAAACCTTTCCACTTTTTCAGTTTCTCCCATCCTCCAAAACCTTATAACAACATATAATAGAAACTTTTAGGAACAAATAATAACTCTTATTTATTCTACCAGTAAGTTTTTTTTTTAAAAATTAAATGCTCGTTACTCACTTATGATTAAGCTATTAACTAACAGAATAATATCTTTATTATTTTATACACATATAAAAATATATAGTATCCATATTTTTATATATACGTAAAAAATAAAATTATCTTTTATAAGATGAAAATTTTTAATCTCACTAATTAATTATATAAGTGAGCTTTTTTTTCTTCTTCTTCCCTTTTTTTTCATTCAATTTTTTAAATGATTATGGCATAGCCAATAACGGTTGAGAAAAAGCTAGACTTTTCGCTTGCGCAATGTCGCACTCCAGCCAAATTCAGAAACACCAAAAGGCACTGTTATTTTTCTCACTCACTACCTTTTCTTTTTCTCATTGCCACTAACCAACCAACCACGTGCTACTCAATAAAAAAATAATAACAATAACACTAAATTTGCATCCGTTGTTTTCCCTTTTCAAGTTTCAACCCCCAAAAAAATCTTTCTACCACAATCTACACTTCTCTGTTTCAATCATTGTTCTTTTTTCTTTCTTTTTTTCTGTTACCCTTTATTGTTAAGAATGTGGGTATTTTGTTTGAGTTGGGGAAAATTGTGAGAGAAAGTGCATCATGAATTCCAGGGAGTGGGTGAAGTTGAAGGTGTGTGTGAGGGAGTTCATGATTGGGGTGGCGGAGATAACGGTGGCGTTGGGGAAAGGGTGCAGGGACATAGTGAAGCAGAGCTTGGTGAACGAAGATTCCTATTTTGTTAGGAAATTGGGAAGGGATTCTTACGTTGTGAAGAGATTAAGAGGACCCTGTGCTAAGTTGTTGAAGAAATTGAGTTTCTTCAACGAGTACTTGCCCGAGGATAAGGACCCTCTTCACGCTTGGTCCATCATCTTCTTCGTTTCCTTACTTGCCTTCTTAGGTTAACTGAACTGAACTTCAACACCATATGTCTTTTTTGTGTGTGTGTGTGTGTGTGTGTGTGTGTGTGTGTGTGTGTGTGTGTGGGGTGTGTGTAGAATTTAAACAACAACAAAGACAATTCCAGTGTAGGAATTGTTTGATCAATGGAGTCTCACTCTCATTGTTTAAATCAGGATATGAATCTTATTATTTATTTTTTGTTATGCTGGATGGAAGATTGGAATAAAACCTTGTACTGTAGCTTTAGGTGTTTGATTTGATCTTTCTTTGAAGTTGATGATATGTGTGTAATGTTTATCTTGTTCAAAATCTGGATGACATGACATGCTTGGTTTATTTGCAGCTTTATTTGTAAATTTTGAGCATGATCTGTCGTCTACTCTGCCGGTGAAGCAAGTGTTTGTACATCCCCCTAGTGCTAAACGCATAGTGCTTCCCGATGGAAGATATATGGCATATAAGGAGCAAGGTGTTTCAGCTGACAAAGCTAGATTTTCAGTGATTGCTCCTCATGCTTTTCTTTCCTCTAGGCTTGCAGGTTGGTTTTGAGTGTTAACTTTTATGTTTTGCTTGTTTGCTTTAAGTTAAATTTTTATGCCCACCTATGGTTGAGACATTTTTAAAATTAGGAATTCCTGGAGTTAAAGCTTCACTGCTGGAAGATTTCGGGATTCACTTGCTGACATATGATCTTCCTGGTTTTGGGGAGAGTGATCCTCATCCCAAACGGAACCTAGAATCCTCTGCGGCAGATATGTCATTTTTAGCAGATGCTCTTGGTGTGAACAAGTTTTGGGTTGTTGGTTACTCAAGTGGAAGCATGCATGCTTGGGCTGCACTTAGATACATTCCTGATAGAGTTGCAGGTATTAGTAGGTCTTTTGTTTGTCCTGTACTTTTACATTTTTATTTCCCTACAACTTTTGATTCTACTCTACTTAAGGAAATTTGGATCTTTTATTGTCACTGTCTCGTTCATTCACTTTTTAAGTAACAACTATCTTGTACTTAGACTTTAATGTACTCTATTACATTTTTACTTAGGCCTTTCCTTCTTTTCCTTCATCCAAAACACTTTAATAAATTGTTTGAAGTGACCTAGAGTAAGTTTTGCATCTTTTAGCAATGAAAGTACTGCCTTTCTAAATATTATATTACGTAATATATGTGTCAGATCAATAGAACTCATGGCATGCGTTATGAAATTGATCTGTCAAGTATTAACTCTCAGGTGCAGCCATGTTTGCTCCCATGGTGAACCCATATGATCCTATCATGACAAGGGAAGAGAGACGAAGAACTTGGAACAAATGGACACGAAAAAGAAAATTTATGTACTTCTTAGCTCGCAGGTTTCCTAGATTTCTTGCTTTCTTCTATCAGCAAAGCTTCTTGTCAGGAAAGCATGGTCAGATTGATAGGTGGCTGTCTTTATCTCTGGGAAAGAGGGTAAGAGAAGCTTTGCTTATCTCTTTTTGTCTTTAAATCGACGTGTCTAATATTTGATATCCATATATAACTTCAAGTGTTCTGCAGTTCCACTGATGTTCGCTTTATGTCTGTCACTTATATCCCAGTAAGATGGATTAAGCATTAGAGGTGCAACTGATTGCTGATAAGAATATATGGAAGATAGAGGCCCTTGTATGATTGCTGAAGAAAATTCTTGGCATGTTCAAATATGATTCAGTTCTGCTCTGGCATTACTCAAACATCAAAATTTAAAGCTTATATTATTATTGAACTTTGTTGAAATTGATAGTGATAAGACATTTTAAACATGCATTGAAATCAGAGCCCAAGCACACTAATCTAGCTAATTATGTGTAATGTAAAATTTGTGTTTCCAAAAGTAGTTTCAGTGGGCTTATGCTATCCCAAGTTTTGAGATTTTACTTGTACATCCCCTCATGCAAGATCTCAATACCCCTTTTAGGATAAAGCGCTGATGGAAGATCCAATCTATGAGGAATTCTGGCAAAGGGATGTGGAAGAATCAATCAGGCAAGGAAATACAAAATCCTTTGTGGAGGAAGCTGCTTTGCAGGTCTCAAATTGGGGTTTCAGCCTTTCAGACCTCAAGTTGCAGAAGAGAAGACCGAGTAGTAATGTGCTCAGTTGGCTTAAGTCAATGTTCACTGAAACTGAGGATTATATGGGCTTTCTTGGCCCAATACATATATGGCATGTGAGTGCATCTATGTGTTTTGATCCCTCGACTAGGGGGTTCATTTGCATAAATCATTTAATAATGTTTAATCAGAATCTTCTGCATGCATTCATCATCTAATCCAACCAGTTTATACCCAAAACATTTATCGGCAATGTCACAATATGCAGATATTGAACATATTAGATAATTTATGATACACGTGTAATAGATTATGTTAAATAAAAAAAAAAAGTTTTCATTATGTTTTCACTTATGTTTCACTTCTGCTGTTGTCTTGCTGTACCTGGTGTTTTTGCAATATGCTGAATTGTGCTAGAAAGAGTGTAAGGTTGCATTTTTCATTATGAAATTGTGAAGCAGACACCTGAAATGTATCATGTATGATTATTCCTTCTGTTAGATGTGCCCTTGAAGTGGATAAGTAAATTTAATGTCTTTACACGTTTCCTGTGTAATCATCAAGAGACTTACATTTCAATTAAATGAAAAAGAAAACTATATTTTTCGGCATGCTCTAATTCTATTTTCGCCAATATATGACTTCTATTTTTGGTTGAAAGTATGACTTATTAGTGGAATGTTAACAGGGAATGGATGATAAAGTGGTTCCCCCATCAATGACTGATTTTGTACACCGCGTATTACCTGGAGCTGCAGTACATAAACTCCCATATGAAGGACATTTCACCTATATTTGCTTTTGTGATGAATGCCACAGACAGATATTTACTACACTTTTCGGAACTCCACAAGGCCCACTCAGCATTACTTTAGAAGTATATCAAACTACCCTAGAAGCCAATGTTGAACAGCAAGAAGTAGTAGACAATGGTGATTATGCCACAAACTAGAAGTACACATAACAGGATTAATTTGTCTTTTCTTTTCCATTTTTTCTGTCGGAACATCACAATTTTATGATGTATATACCATATAGTTTTGCTTCATCTCCAATGGAGCAGTATAGGAAAGAAAATAAAATCAGGTTTCTTCCTCTTCGTTTGGGCTGTTGACCTGATCAAAATATAGTTGGAGTCCTGCATTAAGGAATAGCTCCCACGACCCCATTCCGTTCCCCTTCATAACTGAAATACAAAACTTGATTCTGGCAGTGGTCAGATATGACACAACAATTTGAGATCATTCGAATTTCGAACTGTGTGATTTGAAAAAATGATTTGATGCTTATATTTTTGTTCTTATAATTGATCAGAGCTATTGTGCAGCTGATATTTGGTCAAAATTGCAACTGAAACCGTATATGAATTATGCTTTTTATGCACTTTTCTATAAACTCTTGCAGTCAAATCTCCTTGAGAAGCATTAGTTATTTTTTTAATTATTTTTTGTAAGATGAAATATGAAGAGAAGATAACGGGTTGTTCTTCCTAAATTCCACATGAATATTTGAAGGTGTTAACTAGTAAAGTCTTTTGTAGTTCTTTCATGCGTTGGAGCTATAAAGTGATCAGTGTAGATGTTTGGGTGTTCTTCCTAAATTCCACATGAATATAGGGTGTGAGCATTGTGTAGATGTTTGGCATCAATATAATTACTGCTTGTGTAGAGCTCTCCTATATTAAAAACCGTCTTTGAGCAAAGCACAACACATCAACAATGGCCGGATTCTCCAATGAATTAACTTGGTTGAGAACGACATTGGTGTTGACAACAAGAAAGGTGGAAGCGAAAGTGCTCAAGCAAGCACCAGAAAATCTCAAAGCAACCTTTTAATTAAGACAATTGACTTGGTGTTTTGTTTTTTATTTTTTGGCCAAACCATTGTTCTGTGACAAGTTGAAGGGTCAATGCGCATGATTGATTTCATCGGTAGCTGTCAATGGATATATTTGGCGATCATGGTTGCTACATTCCATTAATTTCCAATCTCCAACCCTCATCACTTCCATTAATTTTCTACACAAGTAAGACAATACTCGGATTTTTTTGGGATATATTAATGATAAACATAATTTAAGAAGTGTGAATATTTGGACCACATATTGGCAAGTTACACCCATTGCAATTTTTTTGAGATTTGGAGAAATTAATTGTTAAGCATATATATTATATGCAATTTGTAGAGTTGCACAATGTATTTCATATATTTAGATAAATTAATGAAAAGCATGCCTATGCATTTCGCAGAGAAATTATTATATTTTGACACATCAAATTATATCTTATTACTTATACATGTTGTAATAATTTGTTTTTTAAATTTAAATATAGGAAAATACTAATATTGTGTTGTAGAAGACTAATATCTCATATCATAGATACAAAATATGTGAGACTCACTCTTTTAAAAAAATAAAAAATAAATAATAAAAATAAATAATAAATAACTAGGCTACACATATTTTGTGTATAATCTTGTAATATGAGACTAATATTTTCTTTAAATATATGCACTTTAAATAGGTAAATTGTTTTTCAACAATATTTTTTTTTCCCTGATAAACAAATAAAGAAGCCACCTTCGTTCGTCGAGTGTGCCCTTTACTGGGTCTCCACTTTTACAGCAGCCTCTGGAAAGCGCTTGCGTGCTCCGCGACTATTTCTCATTCGTTGCGCTCAATCTCTTCCAAACGCAAAGCTCCTTAGTCCTTTATTTATAACCGTCGTTACTTGAATGTCGGCACCGCAGAGATTTATCTGCAATCTCTCCCTCACTCTCCCTCGTCGTTCTTCGTCTTTCTCTACCTTCAAATCCAGAACCTTCCTTTTCCTTCCCTTCACTCACCCTTACTGGACCCTACCTCCTTCTTCCACTCTCCTCACCTCTTCCTCACCAATGCCTCTCAATCCGGTATTCGTTTTCTGCACTCTTCATTTCTATACTCCTCGGTTGCTTTCGATTTTCGCGTTCTTTTTTGTTGTTGTTGAATTTATGTACAAATGATCGTAGTTCGGAACTGAAATTTGTGTGTGTGTCTGTGTGTGTGCTTATTAGCGATACTTGGTTTTAATCTTCGATCGGTGCTTAGTTTCGAAGTTGAAAACGCGCCTAATGTTTAATTGATTGATTATTTTTGCTGAATTCAGCGAAGTGGCGGGAACAGAAGACAAATATGGAAAGAAAAACCAACAACTGAAGGGAAGTTATCTGCTATGGGAGATACAGTTGCAACTGATGCTGAAACTGTTACTAACAGACTTTCTGGAATGCATATTGCTGAAAGCAGTGGGCAAACCGAGGTCCAGCATGCTAACAAGGGTGCTGTGCAAGGTTCAATGGCTATATGGAAACCTAAATCTTATGGAACTGCAAGTGGAGTCAATGCAGCTGAAGTTGAAAACACACCGTTGGTTGGTGCAGATGTGGCTTCAACTAAAAGCAGTAGTGCTGGTTTGAGTAAGTTATTTCGCGGTAATCAGTTAGAGAATTTCACTGTTGACAACTCCACGTACTCACTTGCACAAATAAGAGCAACTTTCTACCCCAAATTTGAAAATGAAAAGTCGGATCAAGAGGTACATTCTTTTTATAATACTTTTTTTCTGTTTTGGTTTCCTGATTGAGCTTGTATTTTTTAAATGTGTCATGGAAATATTTGAGGAGTTTTCCTAGTTTCTATGTTTTTTCTTTGTAATATGTGTCTAAATTTTAGCATTCTGGGATGGTTATAGACAAATAAACACACATTTTTTGGAAGCTTCTGTGGTGGGTTTAGGCTTATGAGATGATGAATTAAACAACTCCAGAAAGGAACTCTGTTCAAAGTCAGCTAAAATAGCCCTCCAAATCTTGCACATTTCCTTGCACCGTAAGTTTTCATCGGAAATTCTCTCATGGATGAAGGAATCACAGTTTTTAAGCCTAGACTCTATGAGAATGATCCCAGCAGCCGCGCGTTCTGTTGTTATGCATGGCTCTTACTTCATAGATACAATATTAAAGAGTAAATTTATTTTAACTGGCTGTATCTGAATCAGGTTTTTACGTCCTTCTTTTTTCCTTGGAAAACTTTTACAACTGATAATTGTATTCTTCTGGTTAATGAGATCATTTCCTCCTTTCTGCAATTACCTATGTATGTATAGTTTTATGTCGTTACTTATCTGTATTCTGTATACCTGTAGATCAGGTCAAGGATGATTGAGATGGTATCAAAAGGTTTGGCTACCTTAGAGGTATGTAGATTTTACTTAATCTTACATAAAGTTTTGTATTTTTTTTTTTTTTTGGTCAATAGACTGCTAGTTGGATGAACTTTGATTTGATTGATTTTAAGTGGTGGACTTAATTTTGTTGACTTGCATGTGCAGGTTTCGCTTAAACACTCTGGTTCTCTTTTTATGTATGCGGGTCATGAGGGTGGAGCTTATGCAAAAAACAGTTTTGGAAATATGTATGTTCATGGCAGATTATGTCTTCCTTTATATTTTCGTTTTATTTGGCTTATGCTTGATGTTTTCTTTGTTTTTTTATTGTGAATAATGGTCATGCAGTAATTCATCAAACGGTGAAACCTTATTGCTTGAAATTTTCTTATGCATACATAAATGGTTTGCTTGGAGTATGATTGTTGTGGTGCTCCATTTCTCCAAATACATTTTATTTTATTATCCTGTTTTATGTAGCTAATCTTTGTTATTTATAGATTATACTATTTTTGTGTGTGCAGATATACTGCTGTTGGTGTATTTGTTCTTGGACGGATGTTTCGAGAGGCTTGGGGAACTGAAGCTTCAAAAAAACAGGCTGAATTTAATAATTTTCTTGAGGTAAAATGATAAATAAAGAATAAAAAAGGATAAAATTTAATAGCATCTCTAGGATTCTGTGGTAGTGTTAGCAAAAGCATCTCCAAAAATGGGATCAATTTCAGGGCATGAAATTAGAAAATGTAGTGCAGGATTTTTTTTCCAGTTTTAAATTTTGTTTAAGTATGTTCTAATAAAACTTTTTTAGACTTGCGTAATATATTTAGTTAAAGATTGTCATGTTTTCTTTCCCAAACATTTGGTCATGTAGACCTTTTATTTTATCTGTGAAATTCAGGGTGTGTGTCCTTGTTTAATTTGTAGTGGTTTGAGGAGAATTCTTTAAAAGTAAAAATATAGATACCTTAATTTGAATATTTATTATCAATTGCTAATCTTTATAGGCTGAAATTTCTCCCGCTTTCTCCCTTTTGCTTTGGGTTGTCTTTCCAATCACTTCCAGGATTGGTGATCAAAATCTATAAATTATTAGCTTGTGAATAATGTGACAGTCTTTCAACATGTGGTTTATGTTGTTTTGGTTTTCTTCTTTTCTTGTTTTTGGAACTAGGCATACTTGCATTTTGTATACCATTTTGACTGATGTCTTTCTCCCCCTTCTATCATGCATTTTTCAGTTCGTGTGGCTGTTAATTATATTCACTGTGTAACTATAAGGTGATACTAGTTTAGGATTCTGTTGCTACATTTATTTCACTTCTATCTTAGTTCATGCTCAAGCTCAAGAAATCAACATTATTATTATCTTCTCTTTCAGAATAACCGTATGAGCTTATCAATGGAACTAGTAACTGCTGTTCTTGGAGACCATGGACAGCGTCCCCAAGAAGATTATGGTAAAATTCTTTTACTTTATTGGTTCAATAAAATTCTTGGCGTTTTGAACAATATTGGGTTTTTTACTTCATTTGAAAAACTAGGTACAAATTGAAAAATAGAATTCAAACAATTATTTACAAAAGGGGGAATTTTACTTTGTCTCAACAAAATCAGCCCAAATATTATGTATAAAGTTTAAATAAAGGTCAAATTATCTGCTTGCGGTATGTTAGATTTCAGATTGTGAATTGTAAGGAATATTATACAGATGTATATGTTGAGCTGTATGGTTATAGCTATGTTTACAGACTTTTCATATGTAGTGTGTGTGTTTTAATTATAGTCTACGTCTGTCTTATGTCTTTTAGTAACTGCTTCATCTTTCTGATCCACAATCTTTACTATTAGTGTAATTGTAAGGAAAATTATACAGATGTATTTGCTGAGGTGTATGGTTATAGCTATGTTTACGGATTTTTCATATGTAGTGTTTAGGTGTGTGTGTGTGTTTTAAATATAGTCTGTCCTATATCTTTTATTAACTGCTTCATCTTCCTGATCCACAATCTTTACTAATAGTGTAATTGAAAGCACCATGATTCATAGTTCTTTCTTGGACCAGGAGTTGAAAAGGGAATGAATTTTTTACGTGAGTGTCTAAGTTAATTCTAACATGGAAATAGTCTGCTCAAACAATGTTTCCAACATCTGATATTTCTGTTCAATGATTTATTTCATATGGAGTTTTGCATAACATTCTTTCGGATCATATATTCATTGGTTTTTCTTGTTCTGAGCAGTGGTAGTTACCGCAGTTACTGAACTGGGCAATGGAAAGCCAAAGTTCTATTCAACTCCTGAGATAATTGCTTTCTGCAGAAAATGGCGGCTTCCAACAAATCATGTGTGGTTGTTTTCAACAAGGTGAACATTATGGATTTTTTTGGTTTGATTAAAAAAAATAAATAGAGGATCTTTGTTACTCAACATATTTTAAATGACTTAAATATGATATTTCTTTTAAATCTGGTTTCTTTAAAGAATGCTGATATACCTAAATGAGGGGAGTTGCATCAGAAGTACTGGATCTTTTCTACTTATGTTGCTGTACCAAACTGTCGTTCAAAATGAATACCTTTTGTTTTTGAATTTGTAATTTTATGTGATTAAAATACGATGAATTGATATTCTATTTAGAAAGTTCTTAGAGTTTCGTGACATCAGCTTATCTTTATATAATGGTAAAACTTTTTGACTGGGAGCACTGTTTGGTTCAATTGTTGGGTTGGTCTAGCCATAAGTACCTTAGACTTACTGTTATAAGGAATTTTAGTACACAAGTTTCTTATGGTTCTTTTTATTGGTTGGTTTTCCTGTTTTAATAGTTATATTCTTAGTAGATTTTGAACAACCATATAATACATTCTGTTTTGCTAATTTTAATATTTGAATAAAAAGTGTTTATTCTTTTTCATTTTTATTTCAAGTCATACATTTTGACTTGGATTTTTATCATTAATATAATCTGCTTGATGTCATCAAGAACATAAGGAAATTTTGGTTCCACTTTTATGTCTTTATATAAATGTAGAAAGTCTGCCTCTTCCTTCTTTGCTGCATATGATGCCTTATGTGAGGAGGGTACTGCAACGCCTGTATGCAAGGCTCTTGATGAAATTGCAGACATATCTGTACCAGGTATCGATTTTAAGCTTGGCATGATTCATTTAACTTGACTTTGCATGTCATGCCTCATACATGAATGTGTTCTATCTAAAGAAATGGTATTTGGTCGAAAGCCATTTGAAATGATGGCTTAGAGAAGAATATGCGGGTGCAATGGAGAAACATTGAAAGCCCTTAAAAGAAACGTAGCGATATGATGCATTTACGTGCATTCTTGATGCCATAAATCTGGCTTTGCTAACTACTTACCATCTTTATCATTGGTTTTTCCCCAACACGGGCTGCTGAACCACCACTTACAATGCAAACACTACCCTGGTAGTTTTATGCCTGTCCTCAAAACCATACTATATACCAGTGTTTAAAACTCGGACTGGTCATCGACTCGGTCGAGGTACTGGGTCATTGGTTCAACCGGATTTACTGTTCACATATTAAAAAAATATAAACATATTACTTATATTAAAAATTCACATAAGAAAACTATCAATGAGCTTCAAAAAATAAATTGGTTCTCAATAATAGCAAGTATTATATACTTCTAGATTTCTAGCTCTAGACCATATCCTAACATTATTTTAAAATTGCAATGGAAGCTAAATGCACCTTTTGTGCCTTAACATAACACAGATAAACTAATCATGATAACAAATGGTAGGCATGAAATATACACAAAGAAGAAAGTGTCCACCGTTGAGATTAGACCATTAGCGTTTATCCCCACTTAATTTTTTGAGATCATTATAAGATGCAAGTAAATTACATAAACGAACTACACTAATCCAAAATACCTTCTTATTTTCACCTTACTTTTTAATCTTATTTACCACAAAATATGAGCCTGATTTAATTCAAGAGTACTCAACAACTAAAAAAAAAAGATTTATCAAAAAAAAAGAAAGAGGGTCAACCGGTCTAACCCGAGTCGCCGAGTCTTGGCCGGGTCAACCGGTCCAAACCTAGTTGACTGCAGAACCGGTCCAAATGACCGCTCGGACCGAGGAACCCACCGGGTCATCGAGCCCCAGGTCGACCCGGCCGGTTTTTAAAACAATGCTATATACCTTTTATTCTTACTCCCACTTTTACTTCCGTCGTAGAAAAGCAATATCTTTCTGAAGTGGCGCTTTGTGAGTAGTGATTATATTTGCTGCTTTAATCTTTAAAGGAATTTCTGAACCTACTTTTATGTGCTTTTTTAAGTTTTAATGTTATGTAATCTTTTGAAATGAAGTAGGTTTATAGTTTTTGTTTTCTTCTTGTTTCAATTTCATTCTACATGTTATGTTAATCTTAATATTGAATTTTTTTCTATTGCTAGCCTCATTTAACTACTCAATTCTCTTTGCGTGAGCTATTCGTCAAATTCACTGCATATTTACATATATTTTCATAACTGCAGGTTCAAAAGACCATGTAAAAGCCCAAGGTGAAATTTTAGAGGGTCTTGTGGCTCGTCTTGTGAGTCATGAGAGTTCAAACCATATAGAGAAAATTTTGAAAGAATTTCCTCCTCCACTCGCTGATGGAGGTATGCTTATTGATTCTCTAAATATCGTGTCCCAGCTACTGTGTCATTTTCTCAGTTGAATGCCTTGTTATTCCCTGCTGTTTATTTATCAATATATTCTTTTTAATGCTATGTCATCTATGCATCTATGCTTCATAGTTGAGGAAAGACAATTAGATACGCCACAGCTTAGGATCACAAATCAAATATTTCATCTGTGACTGAAAATCAGGTTATAATAAAAGTAAAATTGGTCCTTTTTCTGATGTAATAATTGCTTACCCCTCCACCCTGTACAAGCATACTTTCTTGACACTCCTAAATATTAGTCAAAGTACATATGCAAGTATAAATAATGTGCATTTTTTCCTTTCTCCTTCAGTTGCCCTTGATTTTGGACCAAGTCTAAGGGAAATTTGTGCAGCAAATAGATCTGATGAAAAACAGGTAAAGGGTAAACTGCAGTACCTCAATCAGAAGTCATACTATTGCAAGTCTTGCAGTGGATATGGATCCTCTCAGTGTTGCTTATAACACCATCTTGTCAATCTAGGAGAGTTGAATACTTGGAGACAACAGTGGAACCTTATCTTGAAGGAATGTGGGTTTCCCACTCCCTCTGTCCTGGGTGTTTCGTGTGTCTCTCCACTAAATTGACAAGGTTACTTAGGAACAAAGATGAGAGGATCCAAATCCAGATAGATTTTAAAGTAATTAAGTATTATGACATGGAATGTTTCTGCAGCAAATAAAAGCACTTCTCGAGAGTGTTGGTAGTTCTTTTTGTCCTGACTACTCAGATTGGTTTGGGACTGATGCGGCTGATTTTCATTCAAGAAATGCGGACAGATCTGTTCTTTCAAAGTTTTTACAAACCCATCCTGCAGATTATTCAACTAAAAAGTTGCAGGTCAGTCTAGACTTTCTCATATCCTAACCTTACACATCGAAATATGTAAATTTCAGCAAACTCTATGTACTAAATTTTGTGTATGTGCAAGTTTGTATATCCTGGCTTTTGTAAATTGCCAAATTACATAGTTCTCATCTTCCTTTAATGAATTTTTTTATCAATTCTTAACAAGTGTTGGCATTTTCATTTAATTTTTCCTTGCAGTTTATGCTTCCACCTTTTTTTCTAACAAATGCTTTATTGCCTTCCGTTTGGTTCATAGTCATAGCTTTGATTCGAACTTGAATCAGGAAATGGTTCGGTTGATGAGGGAAAAACGTTACCCTGCTGCATTCAAATGTTATCATAACTTCCACAAAGCCGATGTCATATCAAGTGACAATCTTTTCTACAAAATGGTCATTCATGTACACAGTGATTCTGCTTTTCGGCGATACCAAAAAGAAATGAGGTCTACCTTTCAATATGATTTTCTTCCTGAATAATCAGCTTGTTTGATTTTCTGAAAAGTTCTTTTAGAACCTTCTCAATTTTTTTACGTCATACATTTCTTTGATATCTTTTGGGTTACAAAATGTTTGGCACTTTCAGGCTTAAACCCGGATTATGGCCACTATATCGAGGTAAATACTTTATTTTCTTTTCATTTTTCTAATATCCAATTCATTTATATAAAATTTGTAAGCTAATGTTTCTGGCTCACTTTTGGGACACTGTTGATTATGTTGTTATCTATTTTTAGTGGTCCTTGCTATTGTTTTGAGGTTAGTAGTTGCATTTGAGAGATGTATATGGTTGTATTCAAAATGTATATGTGACAACTCTAACCTATTCACGGATTATGTAGCATGAATTTCAAAATTGAAGTTGCTTACTGAATGGAAAAATATTTTTTGACAGTTAAAATTCTAAGGCACTAAGCAAGTTTCATTCATCCAAAAGATTTTTGGGGTGAATCACAAAAAAAGAAGAATTCTTCATAAAAATACTTCTAAATTAGTTACAGTCAACCTCTTGTTTGGTTAATGATGATCGAAGAGTGGTTCATGAGTAACTGTTAACCAATTTTCTTAGTAGACACGTGCATTGTTAATTGCTCGAAGCTGGATATATATTACCAATAACTCTTTCTTCTTCGTTTTTTTGGTAATTTTCCCCTTTCTGGGGAGACGGGACAAACGGTGGATGAATTTGAGCTTGAGTAAACTGAGTTAGAGGGGCTAGTCATGTGCTTTGATACTCGAGTCCTGGGTTTTGACTAGTCTTAGTTTATTGGATTTACTCTGAAATTCGTGATGTGCAAATCAAACGAATGCACTGATAATATGATCTTCCAAGCTTCAATGGAAAAGTAGGAATATGAATTATTAATACTGTGGATAATTTTCGTAAGCATAAGCATATTATACCTTAAAATGCTTAATTTGAAAAAACACTTTTAAATTTAGATGCAAACTTAAATTCTGAGGAATTTTGGGGACATGGAGCACGTGTCGTACTTCACTATCAACTACTACTAAGGTTAATGCTTATGGTATTTAAGCTTGTGAATCAAAAAACTATATAAAATGTTTATACATGACCAAATGAAGCACAGTTATGTTGATATATGCAAAACATATTTATGCTGTTTGTTATTCTTATTGATTTATACAAGTTTCTGATACCTTAATGTGTTTTCCAGGATTTTTTGTTGATATCAATTTATTCAAGCCAAACAAGGAGAAAGCCGCTGAAATTTCTAAAAACAACAGTATAAATGCTAGTGATGGCACTGACTCTGAGATAGATGACTTTGCTGATGAAGATGCAAATTTAATGGTCAAATTGAAATTTCTTACATACAAGGTATACATCCAAGTTTGAAATCTCTTAGAAATCGTATCAATCAAATGATATTAATTATGTATTTGTATGGTGATATGATGCCTGTAGTACATATCTCCTGTTTGTGACTACTTTTTGAGATAATACCGACTTTGTTCTTTTCTGTAGTTTAAATTAATCAAGTGGCAGTAATGTAGTTTGTGTGCTTTTTGTTAAGTGCGTTATATTTTATGTAATCTAATAATTTTACAATAATGATGCCCTCAGGTTTGGGACTTAAAAGAGAAACCAAAAAGTGCTAATGTGTTATATGTAGGAGCTCTTGGTGGCACCATGTGTTAATGTGCTCAAAATACCAGCCTAAGAAAAGTCTCTCAGGAAGGGTCCACTTTATGCATTAATATTATGCATCCGTGTTCTTTCTTGAAGCATCTTCCTTGCTTTTTAATAATATCTGCATGCCCTGATTTTGAATCATTTCTATCATTAAGTGCCTTTTGTTTTTCAATAATTTTTTAGAATTGTTTTGAAATTATGTTGTAGATGTTCTTCTCATTTGTTTGTGTTATTACTAGGACTGACCCTTCAGTCAGTAATTTTGTCAAATATTGGAGACTAACTTCTTTATTCTTATTCTTATTTTGGATCTCTGTCCCAGTTGCGAACCTTTCTCATTCGAAATGGCTTGCCAATTCTGTTTAAAGAAGGTCCAGGTGCTTACAAGGCTTATTATCTGAGGTAAGATATGCTTGGCTTGCACTTGATACCTGAACTAGTTCCTGGAGGGTGAGGTATATGTTATAGTTTGCCTTGCTATATTTTCACAAAAATTTCAACAATGGATAATTGGCTAACTGCTCATAATATTTCCATATACAATTTCCAGTTACAATTTCACGGTTATGGTTTGAGAATGATGTGAATGTGTTAACATTTAGGCAGTTTATTCGTTAACAAAGTTGTGCTGCATGAATGTGTTCGCTATGGGACTGTTCTATTAGGTCTAGGGCAGTTTGTTAAGCGTGAGTAGTTGCTTCATAAGGAAATAAAGACTTTTTGGTAGAAAAGCATCTCGAATTTTGAACTTTCCATAACCTTAGTACCTTACCAAATGTACATTAATGATATTGGAAGTCTAATTCTTGATTTGATTTAGTCTTTGTTTCTGCTACACAATAAAGTAGCTTTATGATCCACCACTCCCAAAATACCTAATTAAAACAATTTATAAAAAATCATAAAAACAAAGCCTTCATTAATCTTAAATCTATAGTATATTCCACCCTCCATTTACAGCTATCTTCCTGTTGATCTATCAGCATGACAATTATGCTAATCTTGTTCGTAACTCCTAGGGCACAATTCAGTATTTAGCTGCATAACATGTTCTTGATGTTGCAATATAGTAAATGGGAATTTTGAGATATTACTTGTTGTAATGTCAGTCATACTGTTGCAAAAGATGTAAAAGTTGAAATATTTTTATGCTTGTCATCCAAGATTATAATCTGAATTCTGAACTACTTTTTTGTTCCTTCTTCCTTTTTTTTTTTTAACATCACAGACAAATGAAAATATGGGGAACCTCTCCACGAAAGCAGAGAGAACTTAGCAAGATGCTCGATGAATGGTAGTTACTGAATCATTCTTCTGGATGGCCCCTAACTAATTTTGATCTTCTAAAGAGTCCCTTTTCTCTCTTTCTCTCTGCCTGTTTGTTTTCTATTATCTTTTCCCTGCCATGGTTGATGCAGTTGATTAAGATATTTCCCCTGCTTATAGGGCTGTGTATATAAGAAGGAAGTGTGGAAATAAGCAACTGTCATCATCAACATATCTTAGTGAAGCAGAACCTTTCCTTGAACAGTATGCAAAACGTAGTTCTCAGAACCAAGCTCTAATAGGTTCTGCCGGTAGTTTAGTTAGGACAGAAGATTTCTTGGCCATTGTTGAGGGAGGCCAGGATGAAGAAGGTGATCTTGTGGCAGAGCAGGAGCTAGCACCACCAGGGCCTAATATCTCAGTCAAAGACACTGTTCCAAAAGATGAAGGGTTGATTGTATTCTTTCCCGGTAATTCTTTTACTATGCTTGTAGGCATTGTAGATTTATATTTGCTTGGTCATCATCTTCAAAACCATTGTAGTTCAAGAGACCTTCAGTCAAGTAATTAGAAGAATAAGAAACTTTTAAATGTGAACATTTAGAATAGCTCCCCACTTATACTACGGTAGGTATTACACAATAAAATATGCCTGCAAGTTGGATTGGCTGCTTTTCTGTTTCATGAACTCTTACTGTGCATCTGAAACAATTTCCAGTTAGTGTTCGATAAAATTAATATGTGGCTATGGGACACATAAGAAGTAATGAATTGTCCATGAATCTAATGATTCTTCCTGCCCTTGTCCCTTCAAAAACAAGGTTTTGGAGTTAACTTGCAGTTCCAAGCTTATAGGTTCTTGTGTTTGAGTAATCAATCAAAATAAAAGCAAGAAAATGTATGATGTTAACTGAAGTTATAAGTCAAAGGGCTGTGAATTTTAAGTTTCAAGAGTTTCAAAGAAACTTCAAATATTGCTTTTTGGGTTATGTTGTTTGAATGAGGTTTTAAGTGTTGGTTTTGCTTTAATCTTTTTGCTAATTGCTTTTGGGTGCAATTTAGGCATAATTGATTCTGATGTTGTTGATGTGATAACTAACACATTTTCCTTTAGTGTAGTTATGCAGCTTAGCGTTTTGTTTTTTTGTCTAAGACTCACCTTCAAGAGATTTCCCACTTCTTCCAGGAATACCCGGTTGTGCTAAGTCTGCCCTTTGCAAAGAATTGCTAAATGCCCAAGGAGGACTAGGAGATGATCGACCAGTTCATAGTCTCATGGGGGATCTGATTAAAGGTAAAAAAAAATTTCTGAGAGTGGTGCTTCTTAATTTGCAAAGGTTCCCCAACGTCATTCAGATCCATATTATTATCCCATTGTTCCATTGTTCATATCTATAAAAGTTGTAAATGATCACCGGAATTGTCATATGTTAATTTTGACAGTCAAGCTGTATTACTTTAAATTGGTTTTTGTAATGCCTATAATTCTTGAATGAATATAAATGTTTATCAGGTCAATTCTACTCAGATAACTAATATGTAGTTGTGTGGAGAATCAACAGGGAAATATTGGCAGAAAGTGGCTGAAGAACGCAGAAAGAAACCAAATTCTATAATGCTTGCTGACAAGAATGCCCCAAATGAAGAAGTTTGGAGACTGGTTAGTACTCTAACTAATTTCATGATGGGTTACTGAATATATTTCTTCCCTTGGTAATAATGTTAACATTTTTAATTGTTAATACCTGATTTCTCTTCCGTGGAAAGTTATCAATTTCATGTGATGGAGCAAATTAAAACTATAATTATGGTTGACATATGTTAGAGAAGTATATAAACCATTGATGGGTTTTCACTTAATAGCTTAAGCTTTTGGGTCGGATTTGTTCTTTACATGGTATCAGAGTCTCGTGCCCCAGGTTCGATCATCACTGCCCCCCACATTTTCTTCTGCAATTTTCTTAGCACAGGTAGGTGGACCTATCCATTGTCCATCTTTCAAGTTCAGTGGGCTCTCATGTGAGGGGGGCCTATTAGAGAAATATAAAATCATTAATGTAGCCTCACCCATCTGCTTAAGCTTTTGGGTTGAATTAGTTCTTTACAACATAAAAACCAAAGAAAAGTATTTTACTAGTTTTGAATTCATTTTTTCAATTTACTAAAATTTTATGCCAGGTGTTATTTTGAGCTCCTCTCCTCTCGGGTCGGATGCCAGGATAGTGGAGTGACATCACATGACGGACTCTTGTGTAATGCTTATATATGAGAGTTAGACTAGAAAAGAGAAATTACAATGCATAGTAGTAGCCAATCCTACATATTGATGTGGAGCAACCGACCCCAATAATGCTATAGTGGGGTAGTGGATAGCCAGAATATTAGTGTGGGTTTTTGTCTAAACACTGTAGATAATTAATACTACGCACATAAATGCTCAAAAATAAAAAATTATTCAAAATTAAAGACATGTTCACCATAGTCTAAACACAAGAAAGAAGTGCAGCAGTAGAACAAAGAAAAAAAGTCACAGCAACCAAAATTAAAATAGAACAGAGCATAGACGTGCAAAGTGTTCATAGACAAGGGTGAGTAATACACATCTGTGAAGAGGAAACAAGAATGAGTCAACAAGTGAGGTTGGTAGAATACCACTGGGTTGCTGGAAAAGAGCTGGGTTCGACTGGAAAAAATAGTGGGCTGCCACATGTATGGAGTATTTTGTGTGAAGCTCAAAACAGAGGGGGTTTTTGACTGAAATTTGTCAAGTGGGATGGGCTTCAAATCCTAAAAGGCTTTCTGATGCCAAAAAAAATAGGGAATCATGAAATTCTCCCAGAGAAATTGGTGGGAAACCATAGAAAATAGGGGCAAAGTTGGGTTTTTGCATCCCGGTTTGAGTAGTGGCTGTGATGGCTGCAACAACAAAACAGTATGCGATGCATTGGCCATAGTAGGGAGTTTCTGCCATGTGCTGTGGTGGTTCGATGGCAGCCTGAAAAGCCGTGATTGACTTCTATGACAAAGCACAATTGCATCATGTTATTACACGTTTCATTAAGTAGCCTCCACTTGAAATTTAGAAAGAAGATCTGATAGGGCAATATGTCTAAAACAATACACGTTTCTCTATATATATTAGTGCGGCATTAATTACAATGATTTAATCCTAATCTACATAATCTCAACTTATTCGATACTATTTACGTGATATTCTACCATGAATGCCTATGATATTTGATAACCTAACATACTCTGACACTCCTTAAACTAGTGCGTGTATATCATATGTCCTAAGCTTGTCACATATATAGCTGTCTCGAGGACCTCTAAGAAACTCCCATGAAAATATTTGCAAGTTGATCATTGTAGTTTTCAAATGCTATCTTAATCTCTCTAGATTCAATTTTCTCTCAAATAAAGTGACGAACAATCTCATCAATATGCTTAGTACTTTCATGAAAGGTGGAATTTGCCTGATTGTCACTTGTTAGTTTCATTGGTTGTGGTTTGCAAATGATCACTTCTTTGTGCAGCTTTTTTAATCAAAAGAGTGAACAAGTTGTGGTTCTCAACTTCTCATTACTCGTATTTAGCTTTTGCACTTGATCCGGAAAACACAGTTTGCTCTTGCTTGCTTTTCCACGAAATCAAGTTTCCTCCGGAAAGAACATGGTAGCCTTAAGTGAAAAATCAATCTGACTTGTTCAGTCAACATCTATATAACAACATGTCCCAATATACCCTTTATCTTTATATAGGAAGCCTCTTTTTTGGTGCTCGTTTAATGTATCAACATCATCTCTATGAGAGTCACATGTAGAGTCTAGAAATTGGCTTACCACGTTCACAACAAATGAGATATATGATCTCGTTACTGTGAGAAAATTTTAGTATCCCTAGCAACAACCTTTGATAACTACTATGATTTGACAATGGCTCCTGATACAACCCAAAACCTACAAGTATATTCTAAATGCAAGCGTAGGAGACCTGTGGCACTTGCTAAGTTAGCTCAATGATTAGTTAGGAGAATAATTATGTTAGGAGAATATTTCTCCAGGTTGTTACAAGAGAAGTTTGTTACGGAGGTGGATAAACAACTATGGGAGAGTGAAAGGTGGGGGGATTGGGACTAGGACTGGGTTGGAACGTGGGAGAAATCAGGGCTTCTCACATTGTTTGGACTATCTTTACTTCCTTTTCTGTATTTCAATTTTCTATCATTTCTTTTCTGCTTTGAAGTTGTAATTTAGTTTATTTTCCAATTTATGAACATCAAAATATATTGTGCTTTGGGTGTATGTTCTTTAGGAGAGAATTAATACAAGTTGTTATTGAATTTATCTCAAATTCTACTTTTATTGATCTCTGATACACATCGACTCCCGTTGTCTTGCTAGAAGTTTGAAATTGGATCCAAAGGTGTATCAATGGATTTACCCCCTAGCATGGTAGTTTCTTCCAATATGTCTAAAGCATACTTTCTCTAGAAGATGGCGATGCCATGTCTAGATCGTGTGACTTCAATACTTAAGAAATATCAAAGCTTGCCGACATCCTTAGTCTGAAAATGTTTGAATAATTGTTTCAGTTGTTGAATGCCAGCAATGACGTTGTCTTCATGTAAACAACAATATAGATGCATTCATTAGGAGGTTGATGTTGATAGGAAATAGAATGATTGGCTTCACTATGATTTTTTCCCAAATTCTTGAACAACTGCACTAAAGCATCTAAAATAGGTCCAAGGTGGTTGTTTCAAGCCATACAGCGATTTGCAAAGCTTGCATACCAACCTATACTCCTCCTGAGCAACAAAGCTAGACAGTTGCTCCATGTAAACTCTCTCTTTAAATCACCATGGACGAAAACATTCTTGATCTCCATTTGATAGAGGGGCCGATGAAGAATAGTGGCTCGGGCTAGGAAAAGTCTATAAAGGTCAGTTTAAGAATTGAATAGAAAGTGTCATTTTAAGAACCAAAGATTTGAGTTTAACCTTTGGCAACCAAACATGTCTTCAACCTATCAACAAAGCCATTTGGACTTGCTTTAGCAGTAAATACTCAGTGACATCAAAGAACAGGTTTTCCAGCAGGTGTAGGAACAATATCTCATATGCCTTCAAACTTTAAAGTGCAAGGTAGACATATCATCAATCATTGTTTGGAGCTAATTTGGATGGAATAGGACTTCACATGTGGTTTTAGGAACGAAAACAAAAGAAAGATTAGAAGCAAAGGTAAAATGGGGTGAAGAAAGATGATTATAACTGTAAAGAACCAATTCAACCCAAAAGCTTAAGCTATTGGGTGAGGTTATATTAATGATTTTATATATCTCAACACGCCCCCTCACACGAGAGTCCACTGGGCTTGAAGGGTGGACAATGCACAGGCCCACCTACCTGTGCGAAGAAAGAAATTCCACTAGAAAGAAAGTGGGGGGCGGTGAGGATCGAACCCGGTACACCGAGGCTCTGATACCATGTAAAGAACCAATTCAACCCAAAAGCTTAAGCTATTGGGTGAGGTTATATTAATGATTTTATATATCTCAACAATAACTATGAAAACCATAAAGTTGATGAGGATTATGAGGAGGTAATTGATCTTTTCTAAGAGCAATAGGTTGACTTGTAACATTCTCTAGGACAGAGCTGGCACCATTTGGTGGCCTAGGTTGATGTTGATAGGTTATGAGAGTACAAGATGGATAGGGGACAAGTGGGACTAGAATCAGTGGTAGAAGTCAAAGGAGGATAATATCAACTTAAGAGACTTTTGCCGATGAAGGATAAGGTTGCTGATCGAAAAAAGTTACGTTAGCAGACATAATGTATCGTCTAAGATCGGGAGAGAAACAACGATACCCTTCTTGAAGACGGAAGTATCCAAGGAAAATGCACTTTAAATCTTTCGTTGTCAGCTTGTCTTTTGAGAAAGATTGTGAACAAAATTGGTACAACCAAAAACATGAGGTACAAGATAAACAAGAGCATCACGAAATAATATATTATGAGAAATTCGATCATCTAACATAGAGGGAGGCATCCGATTTATTAGATAACATCAAACCGCACCCCCCAAAAAAAAAGTGAAACGGAACATTAAGATGCAGGAATAGTAATGTGTGTGTGCGTGCGCACATGTGCGTTTGTTCTGATAGAAAGTTTTAGGGGAGGGGAGTTTGTACCATTCCAAGGTCAGGGCTTAAAGTGGTGCTTACAAAGTTATAGTAATAATTTGAGAGAATTTATTTTTTGGTTTGTTAATCTAGTCTAGAATCATTCTTTCCTGGCTATCAACTTTGTAATTTTGTATCATCTACTTACTAAAATTGCTATACAGTAACCAAATTCCACTTGTCAAATATGCAGATAGAAGACATGTGTCACAGAACCAGGGCATCTGCTGTCCCAGTTGTGCCTGAATCTGAAGGTTATGTTTGTTGCAATCCTGACATTGTTTGTATTGACTAAGTCTGTTTTTAACGTTTTTGTTTTATAATCTAAGGACTGTTGTGTCTTTCATCACAACATAAACGCAATTCGAAAGCATTTGCATGCCCTTTTTGCTTGATATGCTCTAGTCCTTATCAAATTGACGGAACAGAGTATTTATATTGCTTAAAAATGTCAATAAAGAAAAACAATGCTAGTGATTTTGCTTGGTTACAATAAAAAGTGACAGCTGTGGCATGCTATGTTTCTTGGTAATAAGAACTTATTTGTAGCTTCATTTTCATCTTAATATATTTCTCTTTGTATTTTATTGTGCAGGAACTGATTCAAATCCATTTTCTCTTGATGCATTAGCTGTTTTCATGTTTCGTGTGCTTCAACGAGTAAATCATCCGGTATATATTGTTTTATTTTTCTGTAGATATGATCTTTGATCTTTTTGAAAGATTTATTACCTTTCACTAACTTTATTTGAATCTTCAAATTTCTCTAGGGAAATCTTGACAAGGCATCTCCAAATGCTGGCTATGTGTTGCTAATGTTTTATCACCTTTATGATGGCAAGGTATGATGCTTCTTTTATTGCTACTCCATTTTGTTTATATTTTAATATTTTCTGATTCTGCCAATGCTTTTCAGAGCCGTAAAGAGTTTGAGGGTGAATTGATTGACCGTTTTGGGTCGCTTGTCAAGATGCCATTGTTGAAATCTGATAGGTACTTTCAGGATATCACCGGTGTGGGTACTTTTATTATTTTTTGTTTTTATCACTTAATGTTCTGAGAGTAATTTAACAGCCTGGTTGTATTCATTGTTTCCCAATCTTTCTGTCATTTTCTTTATTTACTTTTGGTATGCTAAGTGTTGAGATATATAAAACCATTAATGTAACCTCACCCAACAGCTTAAGCTTTTGGGTTGAATTGGTTCTTTACATGGTATCAGAGCCTCGGTGTACCGGGTTCGAACTTCACCGCCCCCCACTTTCTTTCAAGTGGAATTTCTTTGTTCGCACAGGTAGGTGTGCCTGTGCGTTGTCCACCTTTCAAGCCCAGTGGGCTCTCGTGTGAGGGGGCGTGTTGAGATATATAAAACCATTAATGTAACCTCACCCAACAGCTTAAGCTTTTGGGTTGAATTGGTTATTTACACTAAGTAAAAGTAACTGACAAAATTTACTCCTCCTAGATTCAAATACTGCTTCCCACCAGGAAATCTTGATTTAAGAGATAGGTTTAGTTTAGGTTAAAAAAATGTTGACATTGTTAAAAAGTGTTTAGATTGAATTTCAAGCCCAGTGGGCTCTCGTGTGAGGGGGCGTGTTGAGATATATAAAACCATTAATGTAACCTCACCCAACAGCTTAAGCTTTTGGGTTGAATTGGTTCTTTACACTAAGTAAAAGTAACTGACAAAATTTACTCCTCCTAGATTCAAATACTGCTTCCCACCAGGAAATCTTGATTTAAGAGATAGGTTTAGTTTAGGTTAAAAAAATGTTGACATTGTTAAAAAGTGTTTAGATTGAATTTCACAGTAAGATGATAAATATGACGAGAGTGAAATGTGTTCTTAAATTGGCTGGGGAACAATATAAATATGATTACTAAATGCAATCTACCAGTAGTGTTAAAGGACCAAATCTCATAAAGAAAGCTTTTAGGTCAAGGCTCATGATTGGGTTTATATCCCTAACACAGTAATATGACCCATTATGCAAGATAAGTTTGGGCTTGAAGCATTGACAATGCATAGTTCTATTATACCTTATGCTGAAATTCAACATGTAATCAGAAGAATGGGGTGGCATTGATTGAACTCAACTATCTATCCTCTCACTAATGCTATTTATTTTGTTGTGCTTTTTCTAATGTGCAGGAACCCCCTTCCCGAGGCAGTGCAGTGCATTTTGGAGGAAGGAATTGATTTATATAAGCTTCACTCTAAAAGACATGGAAGGTCAGTTTTATGAAATTTCTCTTGCATACTGTGAAATTTACTACACTATATTTTCTGTTTTCAGATTGTGTTAAAGTATGTCGTGGACTTAGTGACTGCTACAACAAAAAACCCAGCAATAGGATTTGTGAACTTTTTTTCCATCTCTATTATGTAGATATTAGGATGTAATTTGGATTAAAATGCATATATTGTCACACCATATACTTCACCCTTGCCTGATACTAAATGATTAAAACATGTATAAATCAAAGTAGTCTGGCATTAAGAGTAAAGAGAAAACCTGATTTGCCTACAGTTTGAAGACAGCAAAATGTCACCAAATAGAACTTAAGTATTTACAGTGTAGGACCCTAGCTGCATATCAGCCAGTACTTTAGAAATTTTTAGTACCTCACTCTTCAAGTTCTGACAATTGTATTTCAAGCTGCAGAAAATATTCTCCTTGTTTGTTTTAAGTCAAAAGTGCAGTCTCATATCTTCAATTCAATTGTTGGTTCAACTTCGTTTTGAATTGTTGTCTAGAGGTTTCCTCTGTCGACTCTGAGCAGGTCCAATACCTGAGGCCGTATATGTTCACCCATGTATTTCCCCAAAAAGCATTGTCGTACAATGCACAAGAATTTTCTATCCTACGGTGTTTATATAGTTGTAATTAAAGTATGAGTGATATGTGATATCTGTTATGCTGGATGACAACATGTCATGGCTTCTAGTTTATTTTAGCACCTTTGTCTTTGAGGAGTTGACAATGTTAAATTGGTTATTGTTGTGATAGATTAGAGTCTACGAAGGGATCCTACTCAAAGGAATGGATAAAATGGGAGAAACAATTACGGGATATTCTTTGTGGAAATGATGAGTACTTCAATTCAATTCAGGTTAGTACAACTAGCATTTTTTATTTTTTATTTTTTTGCTATAGTCGCTCTGAGTTCTTTTTCTCCACTGTTATCAACTGTTGTTCATTTATGGTGTAGATAACATTGGTTTTGACTAGGCAGTGCTTGTGATTGTTTTTAAAATCCACAATTATGCTCTAAACTGCTATTATTTGCGTTCAAATCATATGCAGGTTCCATTTGAGTTTGCTGTCAAGCACGTTTTGGAACAATTGAGAAACATTGCTAAGGGGGATTACACACCACCGGATACTGAAAAGAGGAAATTTGGCTCCATTGTTTTTGCTGCCCTCAATCTGCCAGTTACAGAAATTCAAGGTGTCCTTAATAATGTAAGGGAAAATTCTACTCTTCTGGTTGCATTTTGTTCTCTATACTCAATATGTTAATTGAAAAACTAACTTGTTCTTGCTCAGCATTATTGAATAATTTTAACTATAGAGGCCCTGCATGGCAAGGCAAAACATATTTAAAGTTGAGGAGGGTAAAGAATCATTTTTTTTTGGTGGTTTTTTTGTGGGGGGGGGGGGGAGAAGCTATTAAAGTGTGCTATATATTCTCTTGTAATAGCTATAAGCCTGTAACCGGTTTATATCTATCAAACCCATCTTATCACATCCAGTGTGCCAAGAGACTTAACCAACTGTGAGCAATTTTGTTATCTAAAAGTTGGCTTGAGTTCTGCAATGAAGGTAGCAGGATGGCAGCTATGAGAATGCTTCTTAATTAGACCATTTGTTTCTCTTCAATCTTGAGGGGGAGATATTAGCCTTCATTTCCCCCCCCCCCCCCTTCTTCTTGTCCCTTTCTTTTTTACTTTTATTTATTTATATATACATATATTTTTATTTTATTTTATTTTATTTTTTATTTTTTTATTTTATTTGTCTATTTTTATTTATTTATTTATTTATTTTTTTGCTTTTTTACTTTTTTTCAACCGTTTTGTATCTTTCATGTGGTTACCACCGAATCCCAATTAATTTGGGATAAAGGTGTTGTTGATGTTGTTACTCTTGCATCTGGAAGAGGATTTTGTTAGTTGTCCCATTTGAAAGATGCCATGTGGAAATTACCCATGCACATGAGGCATCCATGAAGGAGACTATGGGCGGTTCCTATCTCTTCCCCTTGGCTTTCCTTGTCTGTACCTACATCAGTTGTCTTTTTATTCCCATTTGTGTGTCCAAATTTCTTTTCATATCCAAGTGTGTTTATCTAGGATTAAGGAAACAGAATCTGATGCAATAATGTGTATGTAGTTGGCCGAGACTAATCCCAAGATTGGCTCATTCCTGGAAGACAAGCATTTGGGGAATCTTAATCGAGCTCATTTGACTCTTGCTCACAAGAGAAGTCATGGCATCAAAGCTGTAGCTGATTATGGTATCTTTCTGCATAAAAGGGTACCAGTGGAGTTGACAGCACTGCTCTTCTCAGATAAAATGGCTGCATTTGAAGCTTGTCCCGGCTCAGTGGAAGATGAGAAGATAGTTTCAAAAAATGCGTGGCCTCATGTTACCCTATGGACTGGTGAAGGGGTTTCGGCCAAAGAGGCCAACTTGTTACCACAGTTGCTTGCAGAGGGGAAAGCAAATCGGATTGACTTCGATCCACCCATCAATATATATGGCACAATTGAGTTTTATTGAGTTCTTTTTGCTACTCATCTTCCTAAAAATATAACTAACTCAAAAGAAAAAGATCATTTTTTTTTTTTTAATATTTACAACATCATATGCTTTGCTCGTGCTGAGTAGACTTACATCCAATATTTAAATAAGATGATGGAGAAATTTTTGTAGCGGCTAGCATTTTCTCCTGAAATTATGTTTATATAGGCTGTTTAGAAACCCAAGTATGATTTCTGGAATCTTATAGCTGAACTTTTACAATATGAGGTCTTTGTTTGATGGTTATTTTTTTTTTTTTTTTTGCCATTTTACTTGTCGTTGCTAGTTTTTGTTGTATTTTTCTTTTTCTTTTACTGAACCATCGTGAAGTTAATGTAAACAGTTTTTTTTTTCGGCTTTGTATTCTAAACATGTCAATAAAGCATTAATTGATGCTCCGGGTATTTGACGGTGAAATTCTCGTGAGAAATTAAAATTTTGGCACATCTCGCATAAGACTGAGTTCTTCGACCAAATAAGGTCGATGAATTGTCGTGGACATAAGTGCACGGCATGTTAGCCCTGCTTTTCTAATCTATTTTTTCTAGCATTGCGTAGTCAAAATCATGTTATCTTTTACAACAATTATCTTTTATAAAATTGAAGTTTTTATTTTGTTGAAGTGTGATTTGCTTTTGATCACACTCATCTTTGTTTGACGTCTTTTTTCTTCCTTTGAAAGTATAACATGATTTACCCATGATGACAATGGAATTTATTTTTTTTAGTTACAAATAATTGATATGTGGCTACAACCACAATAACCACGCATTTCGATAAATGAGTTAAAAAAAAGTTTGCAAAATATTACGCTAGTTTGAAAGAAGGGTTTCAGCTAGTGAGACCGGAACTAACAATAGCATTTAGATAACCTCCTTTGATATTGCCTATATGGATTCCATTCCCTTACTATCAGTGTATACAGGCCACACTATAGATATTTCAGCGCTCGCTCCAAGCTAAAAAACTAAGACAACAACGTAGCAGACCTTTTAGCCATTCAGAATGGTTTGCAAATTTAAAATTTATCCTCACCAAGGAGGGAATAATCTTTCTCAGTAGCTAAAAAGTCAGATTCGTTAGTGCATTAAGTTTTCATTACAAGTCAGCACAGGGGATGGATGAGTCAATGCTAGACCTCTTCAGGAAATGAGACCTGATGCGTGATTATGTGACTGCTAGGACATGGTTGTTTTCATTTGTCATGACTTCCGAAAAGTAGAACTTGTTTTCATGTGCTGATTGTGCTCTACCATTTTTTGTGATAAGTTTTTCGGGATGGAGAAGTGGAAGAATTGAATAAAAGCATCTTCATGGACATTGTGTTTGAAGTTTATTTATTCTCATATCACAGGAGAAGAATTTCTTCTCGTGCCGAGATAACAAATATGTGAGTCTCATTGAAAAAAAAATTCTCTTTACTCTTTTAAATGGGACCCACATAATTGTTGTGAACATAAGAAGAAATTCTTGAGAAATCTTTAACCCTTATTTAAAACTTATCCAAATAAAGAATCCTTGTAGATTGTTTTGTATCATATGTATTTGACAATTGTGGTTATGAGCTTTCCTGAACAAGCTATTGTGTAGTCTGCTAGTAAAAATTGCTTTCCATCATTGATACTAGAAAGATTTCTACTAAGCATCCTAATGTGGTAAATTGTGATAGCCATGGTACAGAAAATAGTGGACATTGAACATTGTGAATCTGTAGCCACCAAAGTGAGAATAAGATATATAAAAGGAAGAAAATACATTGAGATAGAAATTGGTAAATCATATTAATATTATTTCTCTCGGTTATTATACTATCAGCTTTTGTATATCTATTTATGAATAGGGGAGTATATATATCTTATATTGATGATACAGTACATAAATCAACCACAGCAGTTTTTGAGAGTATCATACTACAGACATTGAAAGAACTTTCCTCGGGCATGTCTCCATCAGTTCCCATAAATGTAGGAGTGCTGAAGATTTTGCTGTCAGGTGTTTGATATTATATGCTCATGCAGGCTCCCTAATTTTATTGAAGGAGAAAGAGTTGTGTAACTTAGCTTTCAGAATTGAAATTAATGAATTAAAATCTTTGTCTGGGTTATATACATGTTGAATCCTGATTGTTTGATGCTATATATTTAAATTATGAGAAACATATTTTATACTCTATCGATTCAGATGCTATGTATTTAAACTACTTGTTGGTTACTTGGTTATGTAAGTGTGCTGCAATGTGCCTAGTGTGCTGTTACAGGATGCATTTGAAGTTACTTCTTGTTTTATTTGTTGGAATTTGAAATAATGGATTTGAGGAGAGTAGGCTTGTTACAGCCTTACAGGAAGAAATCACGCATGATTTTTGTCAAAACGGTTGGGCCGTGTCTCGAATGTGTTAGTTGCTGACAAGTTCAAAGTTGGAAGATTTGGTTTCAAATTAATGTCATGGCAACTGATAATGTCAGTGTGAGCTGTGTTAGCCAAGAGTATGAAAGTCGTTCGTTGTTCTATGGTTTCTTTCTAATGCTTTAAACTACTAGTGAAAAGAATAATATATTGTGCGGAAATAACATAGTTTTATATCTACTATCAAGACTGAACTTCAGCAACTTTTTTAGTTGCAAATAATTTAAATGTGGCTACAACAACAACAATGCATTTTGATAAGTGAATCAAATAATGCTTACACTAAAGCTACTTGGGCTTATAAAAACCTGATTAAAATATCATGCTTTTTTGACAGAAGGATTTTTACTGTTATTGAGGCAGCTAACAGTAACATTAGACGAATACTTACCCTTCTTTGATATTTGAATCATTGCTTGTATGTGCTACCGTTCCCTTACTGTCAGTGTATGCAGGACAAACAGTGGCAAATTGACAGAACCGACATTTCCATCGCTCCTCTTCTGGAGCACAAGTGGCTTCTTGTTCTCCAAGCCAAAACTCAATACAACAACGCATTTGATTCTTTAACCACTCAGGATCATATGCAAATTTATCTTCACCAAGCAGCGAATGATCTTTCTGATACTCATATCTGACATGAAGTAAACACAATCATGTCCTCAAAAAATCAAACTTTAAAGTTTATATAAGAATAGGGTGTGTGAAATGGATCCAAAACTTACAATTCCACACTAAAAATCCTGAGCTTACCTCAATAAAAGCTGATTGTGAGCAGGGGCCAGCATCCTACACGTATTGTTGTAATATTTCACGACATCATCAAGAGTCTGCATTTGCAAATAATGAAAATAGAAAAGAAAAATCTGTAAAAGGCATGCTTCAATTATAAATCAACTGAATCTTTTTCAGCAGAATATTGTGATATTGTAAAAAATTATACACTTAACAGTGAATAAATATAAATCCTGCATGGAAACTTTGAGATGCATTTCCCTAGAGGAAACACCATGCTCTAGTTGTCCCCAGTAAGGTAATTTAAATTTATTTAATATTTAGTTTATGAATGAATATACACCTAATCTTGTGCAAACACAGAATCACATAACCATCTAACTTATCATAATTCATAAACCAAAAAAGAATACAATGACAATGACCAAGAGAACATTATGAACTTAACAACTCAATCTCCTATACTTACAGATGCAGAAAATCCAGAGTCCGCACTTATCACTTTCAGATCTTCAGATAGATTTTGTTGAGCATTTAAGCCAAAATAAGTAAAAAACTTTTTCCAAGGGAAATCATCAGCAACTAAATTGTCCCACAAATATTTGTAACACATCAATTGAAGCCTGCCAAAAGTAAGAGGACAAGATGATTCAATCAAATGCATTAGCTTGCAATTCCACATCCAACAGAATGAAATAAATGGGAAGAATAAACATACCTTCCATTTCTTCGTTGTGGTTCAGCAGGAAGTGTATCTCGAGCACGAGTCTTTGTGTCAATTAGTATTGGATTATGATCATTTTCTGTTAACGGCATCTGAATTTCATCAATTACTCCGACTATCCATATATCTTCTGTAAAGCCTATTCTGATATCAGAATTAAGAACAGTTCATCATGATCAAAATTCCTCCAAATCCTACCAATAAAGACATAAGTAGATTTAAAGTAAATTCTATCATTTATCTAAAATCTAACATGTTACCTATAACGTCAAAAGCTTAATTCACCCAATGGTAGTAGATTTGTCCATTTAATGGGTTGATACAAATAAAAATTGGAGCATAATACAAGAAGAACCCAAAACAATTTCAATAGAACCTAAAACAAGTTTTCTACTGTATAAAATATTTCTAATTGATTCTCAAAGTAATGCATAATTCAATGCCTCTTCCATCGCTCATAAATATGCCATGGGCGCACCTTATAAGAATTATTATAAAAGGTTCAATCCAACCCAATATAAATTGTATGTTCTCTTTCCTTTGAGATCCAAAGAACTTATAGTCAATAAGAATAACATTATGTGCTGCAGTGTTAGAACTACACATTCACAACCTGATTTATAATGTTATCAAAACCTATTTAACTTATGAGAACCTGAGGATTGCCTCATAAAATGTCATTAACTTACATTGGCAGTTCACGAGTTAATCCTTCAAAAAGTAATTGATTCACACCATTTATGAAATTAAGAAATTTCAGGGCCCAATAATCTTCTTGCGATTTGACCTTCACTTCCACCCGTTTTATAACCTGCACATTAACACAATCAGTGCTGATCGATCCAAATTAAAGTTAAAAAACCTGACCAAATAGAACATAGAAAGGTTCAAATAATCATAAAATTTTTCAATCTGATATGAAGAAAACAAATAAAAGATGAACTATGATCATCTAATCAATAACAAAAAACTTCTGCAAGTAAGCTATTTTATACTGTCACTTTAAGAGATGTCATTTCCATGTAGTGATTTAGTGTTGTTATGGAATTTTACAATAAAAAATGTCTAAACTTTCAAAATTTCATGTGGTCAAAGCAGGAGAATTGAGGTTTGAAGATTTTCACACACACCTGGATAAATGGCTACATTGCTATAAATACCAATAGCATCAAGTACAATTATATCTTAATAGCACAGTTGACCTACAAATTTTTGTCTAATAGGTACCTAAAATATGCTTAATTAAACAGAAAAGGCAGGTTTGCATCAGAGAACGTAGCTCATTGCCAAATGTTAGATCTCAGTATAACCTCTCAATCAAATCTCATCTTTTGAGCCAAACCATTAGAAGGTGCACTTGAGGTTTAAAAGCTGGCAATTAAAACACAGTTACACCAATGGATGGTGATAGCACATTCATGAGAATGGTAACAGATTGCAATAACTATAAAACCTTGGACAACACTTTAACAGATTGCAAGTAGATAGTACCTCTTCTTCAAGTTTCGCATGCCGAGCAATGCCAGCTTTCATAACTTGATTGGTCTTTCGCCCTCCAAGAAGGAGAGAAAATTCCATTTGTTTTGGGCACCATTCCTATCACAACATTTAATAATCAGGGCTAAGCTTGTGCCTATTTCCAAAATAAAGACAAAATCACGTAAGGCATCAATAACTATCTAAAAGTACTACACATGAATGCAAAAAAGCTGACATCAAGTAAGACTCCACATGACATTATACACAAGAACAATTGGTACTCGTAGGTAAATGAATCCAATTAAGAAAAAAAAAATCTAGTTTGAAGCTTAGGCTTTTAGCTGAAATCACATAATTGGTTTTATATCTAAGGTGAAGTAACAATCATATAAGTGAGTCAAATGAAGAAGAAACCATGGCTTTCCTAAATCATAATATTAAGTACTTTATGTCAAACACCATGAACACCCTCTAACAACCTAATAAAAAAAAATTGAAAATTGAAAAAATAAATATGGATACCGTAGATGTAAGATCAGTTACGGACAAGCCCCGTTTTCTTCTGAAGCGATGTAGAAAGGAATCTGGAACAGTGGTTTTCTTGTGTGGGGTAACCAATTTGGGTGAATCTTCGATATCAGGGTGGTGAGTGTGAGAGTCATTGCCACCCAATAACTTTCTTTTGGATAGAACCGTGATTGACTTGATGGACAACACATTTGTTTGAAAATGTGGGGAAGAGAGTTGTGATTGTGTTGATGATGAAAAAGGAAAAGAAGAGAGAGAAGAAGAACGAGTGGAAGCTAAAGCGAAAGCAGCTTCAATGAGAGACATTTCTTCGTCAGTGACAATCTCGATGGGAATATTAAGGTTGGGATACGAGGATGAAGATGAAGATAAAGATGAAGATGTTTCGCCCATGTTACTGTTGGATTCACTTATCCAACAACCTCGTCCTCGTCTCCCGTTAAAATTGACCGTTGGAATGCCCACATTACCACACACATGGAGAGAGAGAGAGAGAGGTTCAACCTTGCAAGAAATAAACTTGTTCGGGGAGGTACAACCTAACAAGCAATAAACTTCTTCGATACTCCTCTTGCTCCATAAGCCACCTCTTCATTTTTGTAATAATACATTCAATAAAGTTATGGGTTTAATTAAAGTTTCTATTTTTTTCCAAAAAAAAATTTCCAGTTAAGTTTATGTAAAAGTAAGTGAATTTTACTATTTTTTTTTCTTTAACGTGAGATCCATTTATTTTTATACGAGTGTAAAAGAAAAAAAATTTATTACATAAACATTTTATCGTAAAGTTATATCATACAACTAATTTTTATTTTTTTCTGATTTTAAAAATTTTATGCTATAAAAAATGAGAAAAATGTTTGTCATTTTAAGAAAGAGAAAGACACAAGAAAATATTTTTTATTTAAAATTTAAATTAAAAAAAAATCACCCACTTTCTCTCCCATGTTTTCATTCTTTGTGTCTATCTCTTTCTTAAAATAACATAACTTATGTCATTTAAAATGACAAACATCAAACCCATAAAAAATAAAATAAAATTCTCAAAATATCATATATTTTTCCTAAATTCAAAATGGATTATAGGAAAAATATTTTTCCCTTTTTAATATTAATAATTAAAATATTTTTAAGAGTAAGATTTAATTTTATTTGTTGAAGTATTAATGGAATTAGTGTTTAGGAGATAATTTTATGGGAAATACTACTCTCATTTTTTTTATTTTTTTTTTGTAAATTACTACTCTCTCTCATTTTACATGAAGTAGTCTCATGTTCTCTCACTTCAAAAATATCACCCCCTCTTTTTTTCTTTTTCTTTTTGCCTTTTAATAATGGGTCCCACCTAATTTCTCTGTATAACATGAGATAACTACTCTCATGTAAAATGAGAGTAAAATCTTCTTAATTTTATCTCCTACATATACATAAAAGTATGTAGGGCTCACGTGAGAAGAAGAGAAAGAGAAAAAAACATATGAACTCCATATCTTTTATATGTATATAGGAGATAATATTATCTCATATAATATAAAAAACATTAATCTCAGTATTAAATGTCTTTAACCTAATATTTGTTATATAAATTAGTTTACATTCTCCTTTACCTGCAATATTTTATAACATTTGATTAAAATCAAAGTTATTAATTCAATTTTGATCTAATGATACTCGTAAACTTAAACTTGATTGTAATTTGTGAGTGGGGTTAGCGAAATATTTTCTAAATAAAAAATTAGTTAGAATTTATTAAATTTTCAAAAAAAATATTTAAATAAATTAAGTGATATGGACTATTTATTTATTTAAGAGTAAATAATAATGCTAACTTATTTTAACAAATTATGAAAACAAATCTGACTTATAATAAACTTCAAAATTAACTCTACATATATAAATGCCACTCAAACAAAAGAAACAAGAAAGAGAAATAGTGAATTAGTTTTGTTATTTTTCCCAATAATTTTAACTCCAAACTTATTTAATTTTTTTAGAAAAGAAGAGACAAATGTATTTCTGAATACCTGCCTGCTTTCCTATTCTTTTTCTAATCCATTTTCTATTTATTTATTTTTAAGTATAAAGCTTTCGTGTATAAATTGAGGGTAGGAAATAGGAATATTATTTATGTTAGTAGATTTTACTCTCCAATCTACTTACATTAAATAAGATTATGCAATAAAACTTAAAGATGATGATACATAGGGTACCACAGATTTATTGTCCTATTGTTATTGGGCTAAAGCATCATTTTAAAATTTTTGAGCAAAAGAATTACTCAGTTAAAGTTGATTAGATAAGTTTTTCCAAAGTAATGCAGTCAAATATGTCACATATTCTGACGGGACTAGTCCCGTCGCTGACACTGACGGGACTCGTGCCACGTCAGCGCCACGTAGACAGTCTCATTATCGTAAAACTTCGGAAGGTCATAACTTGTGACTCGGGTATCCAAATCAGATGATTTTTTTTTTGATTTCACATAAATTTTCGAGATCTACGCAATGACATCTAATTTGACACATTTTATCTCCCACAAACATAGTTTGAAGATCTTCTGAATTTAAACGCATGATTGTGGTACAATTATTATCAATTCAAATTATATTTGTGAGAGATAAAATATGTTAAATGAGATTTCATTGCGTAGATCTCGAAAAGTTATGTGAAATCAAAAAAAAATCATCTGATTTGGATACCCGAGTCACAAGTTATGACCTTCCGAAGTTTTACGATAATGAAACTGTCTACGTGGCGCTGACGTGGCACGAGTCCCGTCAGTGTCAGCGACGGGACTAGTCCCGTCAGCATATGTGACATGTTTGACTGCATTACTTTGAAAAAATTTATCCAATCAACTTTAACTGGACAATTCTTTTGCTTAAAAATTTTAAAATGGTGCTTTTTCCATTGTTATTGTCACAGTAAAGCCTATCCCAAAAGAATAGAGAAAAATGCCGCAAAAGGAAAGAAAAAGATGTTAAACATTAGAAAAATTCAATCAGACTTTGTCTCTGTGTCGTGGATCGGAAGTTTCTCAAAAAAAAACCTCAAACTTGTCTACACATTATAACGCCAGCAAACCCCCCCATAATTCTACATGGACGACACGTATATCTCTATATTCTCTTCACCTTCCCTTCATAAACCACCCCTTCATGTTCATAACTCAAACCCCATTTTGTAATGCCATCAAACAAAGCTATGGGAAACAAAACCACCCTTTTGCTCTTTCTCCTTATTCTTTGCCATGAAGTGGCCATAACAATAGGCTTCCTTGAAGATGAAGATTGGAGGATAGAGTTGGAAAATAGAGAAGAGAGGCCTTCAAGTTCATCATCAGATCATATGTTTTTGATGCAGAACTCCAAGAGTGTGGTCAAGACTGATGCAGGGGAGATGCGAGTATTGAAAAGCCAAGGTGGTAGGATTTTGGATAGACGCATGCACATTGGCTTCATCACTATGGAACCAAGGTCCTTGTTCGTTCCTCAGTACCTCGACTCCAATTTGATCATATTCCTTCTTAGAGGTAATGTAAAGAATCAATTCAACTCAAAATCTGTTGAGCGAGAGCCTTTTTAATATTATTCTCCGATACACCCAAGAACAAGATACAAGCTTAATTTTTTGTTTACCTTGTAATGGATCGAACTATTCTCTAACAAATTCCTCACTTTTCATGGTAAATAGTAGTAACATACATGCTTGTCTTTTCTTTTGAAAGCAAAAATTAATAGGGAAAAAGACAAAAGAAACAACCCCACTTGAGTGATCTAACTATATATTGGAAAATTTGATAAGGGTTTAATTTTGATGCAAGATTGGTGTGATAATATGATCCAAACATATATCTTTAAATTACATATTATCAAAGATGTGTGACTATCATAGGAGTCTAATTATTTTAATGAAGTATGTGTAATGATAAGTCTAAAAAGCTTTAGATTGAAAGTGCATCAAATTATAACTCATAAGAGTCAACTTGGAAATTTGTTGCAGGGGAAGCAAAGTTGGGATTCATATACAAAGATGAACTAGCGGAAAGGCATTTGAAGATAGGGGATGTATATGTAATTCCAGCAGGTACTGCATTCTATTTGGTGAATATAGGGAAAGGTCAGAGACTTCAAATCATTTGCAGCATTGACACCTCAGAGAGCATTGGAGTAGATAACTTCCAGGTACATACATCCATATAATTTCACATCTTCCACTTTATTATTCTTTGTTATCATTTTGAAATCGTGCTATCTTGTGACTAAGGTTTGACATTCTTCAAATTTTTCATGGATCATGCAGGCCTTCTATATTGGAGGAGGAGCCAATCCACAATCAGTGCTTTATGGATTCGAGCCTGTGATCCTTGAAACTGCATTTAACGTGAGCTAATATAGTAATATTACAACATCATTTTTCATTATGCAATAGGCTAATAATAGCAGTAGATACTTGAAGTGAAGAACCAACCCTCTAAACACTAAACACAGAAACACTTAACAAAATTTCTTTTATTAATTATCAATAATAGGAATCAAGAAAGGAGCTAAGGAAAATCTTCAACACGAAACTAGATGGGCCAATTGTGTTTGTGGATGAGTCTCTTGCCCCAAGCCTATGGACAAAATTCCTTGACCTGAAGAAGGAAGACAAAGTGCAACAACTAAAGAAAATGGTGCAAGACCAAGAAGAAACTAGTGAAGAAGAAGAAGAGAAGCAAACAAGTTGGTCATGGAGGAAGCTCTTGGAAACTGTATTAGGAAACGAGAACAAGAAGATAGAGAACAAGGGCAATGCTGATTCCCCTGACTCTTACAACATCTATGACAGAAAACCAGATTTCAAAAACGCTTATGGTAGGAGCATTGCACTTCATGGAGGCGATTATTCTCCACTGAAAACAGCTGACATTGGCGTTTATCATGTTAATCTCACAGCGGTATGCAAACAATAAGGCCTTCAATATTTAGGTGTAAAAAACCATGCAAATTGTTTGTCATTCTTCTTCTTTTTTCATGCAATTTTTTTTTTTTTTCTTTGGCAGGGTTCTATGATGGCACCCCATGTGAATCCGAGAGCAACAGAATATGGCATAGTTCTAAGAGGTTCTGGAACAATTCAGATAGTGTTTCCAAACGGAAGCAATGCAATGAACACTGAAATCAAAGAAGGGGATGTGTTCTTTGTACCGAGATACTTCCCTTTCTGTCAAATAGCATCAAGAAGTGGACCCTTAGAGTTCTTTGGTTTCACCACTTCTGCAAGGAAGAACAAGCCACAGTTTCTGGCTGGTACTATGTCCCTTCTTAGGACTATGATGGGGCCTGAGCTTGCGGCTGCGTTTGGTGTGAGTGAGGACACTCTGAGGCGCGTGGTTGATGCTCAGCATGAGGGTGTGATACTTCCCTCTGCATGGGCTGCACCTGGAGATGCAGTGAAGAAGGAGGAGGAGGAGGAGGACCCTTTGGAGTTGAAGGAAGAGAAGGTGCAGATGATGCAGCCAAAGGCTATCAAAAGCTTTGCCAATGATATGGTTATGAATGTTCTTTAGTAAGATCATTTAATTTGGAATAGACTTATTTGGTAGTGCTAGTGCCTAGGGGAATTTTGTTTTTGTTTTTGTTTTTGTTTTTTTTCCTTTGGTTGAGATGTGTTTATGTTCTCTAGTTGTCTTGAGTTTGTGAATAAAAGCTACTTTCTTCGTCCATTGAATTCATTCATATCCGATTTCTGGCTTTGAGATATATTACTTATATATCAAAGTTTTATTTTATATATAATATAAGACCATCTCAATCTTATACATATCTGCAAAGGAACATTTGGTGTACAGAAAAATGATGTGATAAATTTTAATGTGTACATGGCAACTATAAGAAGAGAAAGCAAAATAGCTGGCATCCTCTACTGAATACTAAGTAATGGTCAACTTTGAATCGGTGGTGGGGTTCTAAGAATAATAATATTTTGGCTCTTCCTTTTGTAATTGTATCAGTGTGTGGCATGTATCTAGAAATCACACGTGGCATGTTAAGTCTGGTCTACAGTTTACTTCTAGGTTTCAGTATAAGTTCATGGATTCAAAACTTTTTTTTCTGCTAAAGAATTGCCATTGCATTTGAAGTTATTCAAGCCATGGCTACTTAGAAACTTTTGTGAACTATCTGATAGTCTTACATTTAAGCTCTGTATGAAATTATTTCCTGAACGAAGAAATATATAGTCTTTTAAATTTTAAGGAGAAGCTAAACATGGTCTTTACATCATAGAGTAATATCTGGTTTATGCGTTGAGTAGTAGTCGAATAGTACTAGTTGAATAGTACTAGTTGCATCTTGTTCAGTGAAACCAATTGTTTTTTACAGGCGTTGGACATCTCAGATTAGTGATTGTTTTTGGGTTGGGCCTGAGATTAGGCAAGAAGAGTTCTGCTCTGTTCTGACCAGAATTTTGTTAATAACCACTCTAATATAAATTCAATGAAGCAACAACTGGTACCATAGAGAAGTGGCCATAAACTGGATAGTCTTGATCAATTTGAAAGATCATTTGATGCAGTGGAAATAACTGAATTTGGGAAAGACAACGGAATTCATAATTGCCTCAATTTTTTTTTAAAAATTGTCTAAATATTCAAAAATTAAGACCACTTTAATGTCCCTTTAAAAGTTTTTTTTTTTTTTCTCTTCGTAGACTTTTTACATATTGTCAACTGAAAAGTAGGATTTAAAAAGTTGTAGTAAATTGGTAGTGAAAAAAATAGGATAATAAGAATATATTATCTCTATATTAAAATACTTTATAAGAAACAAATCAAATGTCACCACATAAACATTTCATAACACATGACTGAAACAGCAACAGAAATTTTCATTTCTATTCTAATATTACATAAGTGAGTCTCACTTCCTGGGAAATATTTACTATGCTCCAGGACCACCTAATAATTTGGTGCTCCCTCTCACAACATTAATTTTTTCTTTTTCATTTTACCCCTGCTATTTTTTTTCTTTTACAATTTTACCCTTCCATTTACACTAAGAGACCACCTAAAAAATGGTGGTCCCGGACCACAATAAATTCTCTCCACTTTGTGGCTGATTTCCTTCATCTTTTTTTTTTTTACTTTTCTTTTGTGAGCTTCGAAAGCTTTTTACTTCCCTGCCTACCCCAATTTGGCAATTGAAGGTATATCATCAGAAACGCGGAAGCGCATCGTACCGATGCGATGAAGAATGAATAACACCGCTTTGATTACCTGAGATGAAGCAGCGAGCGTGACAGTTTCTCACGTTCTGTTCTCCTCCTCAAGCCTCACGATCTGTAGCAACGCACCACGAACGGTCGCAATTCCGCTCTACGGTTGATCTTCCAGGCTATGACTCAAGGGGGATCAGGTGGTCGTGTGGGCAACCGTCCAGATGATAACGTCTGCCTCTTTGTGTTTCTGATGTCTGTAACCCTAGGAGGCAAAGGGAGAAAAGTGTGCTTATATACCTGCCTAATTCAAAACTAACCCTAAGCTTCATGGGTTAGAATTAGTCTTTGGGCTTACTCTCACTGAAGCTATTGGCTTAAGTGAAAAGAGCGTACTTAAACCCAACAATCTCTCACTTGCTCTTTTGGACATAAACACAAACTTGAGTTCATAAACCCAAGACAATGTAGCCCATAAGCCATTATACAACCCATCCCTTGTCTCAAGCTAGCCTGAGGATCTACCATCTGTCATTCATCAAGGCTCCTGATAATCTTTGAAAGATTATCTAATTCGGTGCTACTCCACTAAAAGCCCGAACGTGAACTCCAAGATTAATGACCTTTATAAGATGAATATGCATCACCCCTTTGTAAAATGTCTAAATTGATTAACAAGTTTTCTGTAACTCAATCAATTATTTATTTCCTTAGTCCCACATTGGTTGTATGTGCAACTAATGTGGAGTTTATAAGGCCTTGGACACTCCCACCCTTTGAGCTAGCTTTTGGGGTGGTGTATCACAAGGTTCTTTACATGGTATCAGAGCTTGATCCTCACCGCCTCCTACTTTAAAGTGAAATTAAAATAAAAAAGCACAAAAGGTACACCAAAAATTGGGCCTGTGCATTGTCCACCCTTCAAGCACAATGAGCTCTCGTGTGAGGGGGCGTGTTGAGATATATAGTTCCACATTGGTTGTATGTGCAACTAATGTGGGGTTTATAAGGTCTTGGGCACTCCCACCCTTTGAGCTAGCTTTTGGGGTGGTGTATCACAAGGTTCTTTACAACTACTTCTAAGTAAATTGGAGTTTGTTTTCAATTGGATGATTGTGGATGCAACCTTTGATTCATGAGCAAGGGTTCTGGGACATAGAAAAGAGGAAGCCTATTGAGAAAAAGAGAAGGAACAGTGACCATTTTGTCACGCTTGACAAAAAAATTTACCAAACTGCCACGCCAACAGTAAGTTTTGCTAAAATGTCACGCGACATATTTCGTTACACTTGTGTAGCGAAATATGTTTGCAAGTAATTCGCTACAAAGTGTAGCGAAATATGCCACGTCAAAATGCACAGAACCAAAAATGTCACGTGTCAAGTAGGCAGAATTCAAGCATAATGCGCTACACAGTGTAGCGAATTTCTGCCTGCTTGACACGTGTCATTTTTTGCTGACTGTGCATTCTGACATGTCATATTTTGCTACATTGTGTAGCGAATTACTTGCAAACATATTTCGCTATACAGTGTAGCGAAATATGCCGCGTGACATTTTGGCAAAATTTACTGTTGACGTAGCAGTTTGGTAAATTTTTTTGACAAGTGTGACAAAATGATCACTTTTCCAAAAGAGAACATTCGAGTTAAATGCACCTTCAGTTCGAAACCTTGTGGTACATATACATTCCATTTAGAAGCATATGTGTTGGAATTTAGGATGAGCAGACAGTGCACGTGCTTTTTTTTCTTTTCTGCCTCTATTATGCAGCCTTATGGAGACCTGATGCTTAGAACGTGCATTGAAGATTTTTTTGCCGAAAAAATAAAGTTATTATAATATTGGGTAAAGGAATTCTCTAGTCAATGGAGATAAAGTTATCTCCAGTGAACTTAAAAAGACGTCGTTTTGGAGCAAAAATCAAGGTATTTTGTAATTATAATATATTGCAGGGTTATGTTAGTCTTTTGATTATAATTTTTTAATCTTATAACCCAAAACGACATCGTCTTAAGCTCACTGGAGATGACTTTATCTCCGGTAACTGAAGAAATATGTTTTCCTATAATATTATTGATAGAGAAGTTTCTTATATTATTTATTTATACATAAAAACAAATAGAAGTAAGCGGACGTTTGGTAGAGGAGAAATTTTTTTTTATTCGGGAATCACGATTTCCAAGAATATGATGAGAATATGAGTTTTCTGATAATGTTAACAAAAAATTATTTGATAAACTAAAATATTCCTGGAAATACTGGGTTAATTTTCTTAATTCTATGTTTAGTTCTATTAAATTTTTCCTTGTCATAAAAATCTTAAAATACCATCTTTGGATAGTATTCCTGGAGGGTATTTTTAAAAAAAATTACACACAAAATAATATCCCGAGAAATATATATATATATATATAAGTATATGAAACTCATACTTTTTTTTTTGTGCACATAAATCTTATATATTTTTATATATATTGAAGATAAATTTATCTCCTACAATATGATAAATAATAAACCCAATTTTCAATTTTGTTATAACTTTCCCAATAACTTAACTACGGATGAATTTATTATACCTTTAACAGTCTCGTGAGAATATTTTGAGCTTTGAAGTGGGAACAATGCTAGAGTTCATTTTTTTATCTTGTGCTTAATTTTACTTTATCAAAAGAATAGCGTAGTTTGATTTAAAAGTTTTATATATGTTATGTTGTAGGACATTTGTAGTGTTATGTTACTCTAATACATTTGATGTGGGTCTCACTCAAAAAGAAAAAAAAGGCAGGTCTCATTTTTCATGTGAGAGTAACATGACACTAAGAATGTCATGCAACAAGATATGTATAAAACCCTTGATTTAAACTCTGAATCACTTTATTATATGTTGTGAAATGTCATACAACCATATCTCCCAAAATTTATTGGGAGTAGGGGTGGCAATTCGTGTTCATGGGTCGGGTTCGGGTCGACCTGTGTCTGACATGAACACGAATAGACTCAACCCGAACACGACACGATTAACAAATCGTGTTATAAAATTCAACCCGTACACGACCCATGTATAAAGGGTTGACACGATACAACCCGAATTTGAGGGCAATTTGTATTTTACACGGCACGACCCGACCCGACACGACTCGACACGACCCGACCCGACACGACTAAACAGAAAGTGATATTAATTCAAATCATATTAAAACTGTTCAATCTAATTCAAATCAAAATAACTTACTACATTGAACTCCATCAATCCAACATCAAAACATAATTAAATGCAACCTACAACAAATGTCTCATTGTTACAGCAACTTCTTCCACCAAAATACAAATTAAGATCACAAATTCAAGATC